ATTAAGTAATTAAATGAGTAAGAAATAAAAAAAGTTATTGAACGAAATTTTCTGTCAGTATTGATGATGATGGAGTAGTATTGGCAGTGGTAGTAGTAGTAGTAGTAGAAGTAATAATAGTATGAGAAATACACTTAAAACTCTTCTACACACCTTTATCTCATGAAGTATAGGCATATAAAAAAATAGCAAAGCTAAACACTCCATATATCAGATAAAGTTATACATAGATAAACCAAATACAATAAAATAAATAACGAATTATAAGCAGATCTGTAAAAGAAAGTTTAATTTTCTTAAGTTGAAGAAAGTTGGTTTACATTTCAGAGGGTCTGATAATTCTTGGTGTATTCACACACATACACACACACACACTTGCTTAGCTCACAAGGTCATCACTTCCGGGATTGTCTAACGATGTTCATATGTTTAGTTGTAGGTTTGTATGTATATGGGTATAAGCGTAGGCATATTTGAATTATGAATACGAATATTTTGTAATATATAATTTGCAATGAATAGTTTTCCTTGTTTTACCAAACACAAACTCAGTATTACATAATCATGATGCATTCAAAACTTTTGTGATATGTACGTATCATTATCTCTATCTTTATTTCTTTCTAACTGTGAGAATATGCATTTATGAGTTTGTATGCATTATGAACATACAAAATAATCAACATTAGAATAAACCCAAGGGTTTTTTCATTTCTGTCTGCTTCCAAATTGGTAGTTTTGTGAACTCTTCTCTAGACATTGAAAATACAGCCTGAATTAAAAAGAAAGTAAAGAAGTAACACTAATTAAGTGGGTTTTTTTAAACGTAATGTATATGTGAATCATTGGTCTAGGAAGATAACTTTTTAAGTAATGGGTCATGAGTTGAAACGTCACTTTATCTTCCGAAGTTTGAGGAGCTAAGTAGTATCATTGGTGTAGCTCATTGCCTACTGCACGAATGTGTACACGGTCGCTGAGTGAATTCGACATCATAACCATTTCAGTGACACCTAAAACCAATAACACAAAGCTTGGCTGGTTATTCATAAACTGGTCCCTACTAAGAACTCACAGAAGGGTTCTTATGACAACTCATTGTATACGTAAAAAGATGTTAAAATCAGGAACTATTAGATAGCCAAGACTTACTAGTCAGTTAAGAAACTATCTAACGAACCATCTCATCGGGTGTATGTCATTTTTAAGAGTTGAGCTTAATTCTTCGAAAGCCTACTTATTGGCTATTGCAATTCAAGATTCATAGTTTTCAAACGAAAAGTAGGAAAGCATGTTTTCTAACAAGTCTTACAACAGGTGATATTATTATTATATTATTTGTCCCTGGAGTTCCCAGTGGAACACAGGGCTTCAGTAGCACGCCTTTAGTGCACTCTTTTCTTTGCAATCTTTTGAACCTGGCTCCACGATTTCCCATAAGCTCTCATTTCTTCCTCACATTATCTCCTGCATGTCAAAATCGCCTCGGATGCCCAACTAGCCGTTTCCACTTGGATTCCACTCGACAGCCTAGCCTGACGTGAGATGTCCCTGAATGGTCTTCTGAGTGTATGTATGCCCAATCCATCTCCACTTCCTTCTGCATATTTGTTGAGTGATAGGTTCTTAGTTGGTTTGTTGCCAGCCAGCCAGAGTGAGTTCTTGTTGCTTATTCCTATTATTCTGGCCATATGAGCTCCAGTAACGAGACAGCAAAGGGAGTTGTTATGATGTGTGTCTGTAGTTTGTTGAAAATCCCTTTCGTAACACGCCAAGTCTCTCAACCATCAAACAGAAGCACTGACTTGACGTTGGTGTTGAAAATCCGGATGTTGTTCACACTTAATGCTGAGTGCAGAAGATCTGGACACTGGTTTCAGGTTAGTGAACGCCTGTCTTGCTTTTCCGATCCTGGCTGTCTTTGATGTTCTCGTCTGTGACGCCCATGGTTGAAACGATGCTGTCTTGCTTGGGTAGGTGAAAGTTGCTACTTTCTTTAAGTTTCTTGCGTTGATGGTGATTGGAGTTTGTTGTTGTTGCTGTTGTTGTTGGTTGGTTATCTTCATCACCCCCACCACTGTCTTATCTACGTTCACTTGAAGTCCTTCCTTCTCCCCCCTGCCTCTTCTGTCAACGTGTTAGTTTTCGCCTGTAGATCTTCACGTTTGTGCAGTATCAGACACAAGTCATGGGTGGCGAAATCTATATCTTCTATGATCTTTTCCCCTGTCCAGCCAGCGTATCCCACTCTTCTCACTCCTCACTGTTTGTTGCATCATCCAGTCCCGTCCACTACAATCAGGAATACCATTGGTGATAGTAGACAACCTTGTCTTACTCCTGTCTTCCCTTCAAAGGCATCACTGAGCTTTCCATTGTGAATTACTTGGCATGCAGTGTCTTCATATAGCTGTTGTTGAATGAGATTGATAAATGTTTGTGGTATTCCCTAGTGTTGAAGCAGTTTCCAAATTACTCCTCTGTCGGCGCTGTCGAAGGCCTTCTCAAAGTGGATGAAGTAGTGGTAGGGTTGACTGCCATTCTATACTCTGTTCTATGATGATGTATAGAGCGGCGTTGCGATTTGGTCCGCACACGATTTTCACTTCCTGAATCCAGCCAGCCTGTTCCGGTAGTAGTTTTGAATCCAGTGCATGCTTCAGTCTCTCCAGGATGACGTGGCTTGATATTTTGCTTGGTGTGGACAGGAGAGTGATTCCGTGCCAGTTCTTGCAAAGACTTAGGTCACTCGCCTTCAGGAGTTTGACAAGGTAACCCTTCTTCCAATCTGCAGGTGCCTTCCCTTCCTCCCACACCTTCTGCAATAGTGGTGTGAGCATGTCTGCTGTTGTCTCTGCGTCTGCTCTCAGTGCTTCCGGAGGAATTCTATCTGGTCATGCTGCTTTACTGAATTTCAGTAGCTTTATGGCGTTCAGGACTTCCATTTTTGTTGGAGGATTTATGTTCACTTGTAGTTCTGTGGCTGGGCTACAGGTGGCATTTCTGGACGAAGTGCAGGTGGTAGTGGTGGTGGTGGTCGATTCAAGAGCTTCTTGAATTGGTCGGCGCATTGTTTCCTTTGTTTCTCTTCTTTCGTAATTAAATTTCCTTCCTCATCTTTTATTGGTTTCATCTGTATTGATCTCTTCCCTGATAGCAACCTGGTTATTTGATACAATGTTGTCAGGTCTCTCTTACCTGCAGCCTGTTCTGCTTCACTTGCCAGTGTTTCGTAGAAGCGCCTTTTGTCTTTCCGTGCACTCTTCTTCACCTCCTTGTCCAGTGTTTTATACGTTGTTCTCAGTTCCTCTTATTGTCGTTTGTCCTTGCACTGGTTCACCTTCTGCTTCACCATCCTCCTCTCCCTGCTCCATCATCTGTGTCCATCGAGATCCATTCCTTATCTTATTTCTTCCTTCTTCCTAACACGGTTATGCAAGTTTCTTTCCATATAGCTATCAAAGAGTTCCAGTGTTCTTCCACACAGGTTTCTCCAGGGATGTTGCTCGATATCTCCCATTTTGTCTTGATGGCTGCCGTGAAGATTTCCTTTTTAGTTTTGTCCTTCAAATTCCGAATGTTGTACCTGAACTCTGGTCTGTCACCCACTTCCTTGAATTGAGGGCTTTCAACTTGATTTGGAGGGTAAAACAGGTGATGGTAGTCAAAATTTGTTCGATAACGCTATTAGAAGACGAAGATTATCTGAAGAATGTGACTGATTTATTTGCGCAATACACTTCGAACCATCTGATACCCCACACAATTACTTGTCAAGTCAATTTATGTACGAAAATGAGAGGAAAGATGAAAGGTTAAATATAATGAATATGAAAAGGTTGTGACACCAGTTTTGGCAATATAATCAGATAAGCATTACCATGGTTAATTACGTGAAACAGCAAACTGTTTTTGTGCGCACAACAGAAACTTAAGTTTACGAATGGGTAACCCTCTGGTAAATTCCAATATGCACCTCTGACTATTCTTTTATAACATCTTGAACGCTGTTTTCTTTTTAACCTTATGATTCGTTTCGATTATATGTTTTGCTATAGAGGAAGGTGGATGTTTTTCACCTACGCCTATCAAAGTTTATATGGTAAACTGTTTTTCAAACCATTTAGGTTTGCGTTCACTGAACCTAATCTGCATTAAACCTTTACACATATATAATGTGTGCTGACACATACATGTAGATTGATATGATGGAAATTTGGACCGCTACCGGATTCAAACCGTTGACCACCAGGTTCCCTGCCCGATGCTCTACCAGTTGAGCAGCGGTCGGTTCTCGTAGCTTAGCTGGTAGAGTATCGGACGGGAAACCCGGTGGTTCCTGGTTCGAATCCAGTAGCGGTGCTAACTGTCATTTCATCTCCAATCATCGCCCAGTCTGCCAGACTACGGTTATCTCAGATAGTCAAATGATAAATTGATATAAGTTTGATGTGCAGACTACCTTCAATTTTATTTCTTCTTCATAAAAATTAAGAAATAGGACGGATATGAAGTTTTTAATGGAATATGGAGCTAAGGGAATTTGTCTAACATTTATGGTGTGGACTTGAAGATGTAGTGAGTGGAAAGTTCTCTTAAAATAGATAGCATAGATTAAAGGAAGAACTCACAAATAAACTGAGAGTTAAACAAACAAACAAACAAAGTTTAACTCAAAATTAAGGCTTTTTACTATCAGTTTCTGAAGTGATATTCCCCCTGCCATCAATCTATTTTAGCTGACTGTGTAGAATAGAATTATCACTACTGGAAGCAATCAATTTCTTTTTAAAACTGTTATATACCATTTCCCCTTTTTATTTGTTTGTTTTCTGACTTTATCATTTAAAGTACATTAAGTTATCTATTTCGTTTAACAGTCAAAATCACTGTGGATAGTGTTATTCAGTAGGAAGCCTTCAAAAAAATATCAGAAATTTATTTTATTCCATTAGGAAAAGTATAAGATAGCAAAAAAGAACACTATTTCATAAGTATCATTATCACTAAATTTATTAGGTACCAATCGAATAATCGATCAGCTGATCAGTGGACAGTACAGGTCATATGTTTAAAGTACAAGATTGTGTGTAAATCGCAAAATGTTTGTATCAGGCAATACACGAAGGTGATTACTACCAATAAGAATGGAGGCACAAAGTGAATTTTACTTCAAACGTGATTTCGTAACGATTAGCTTGTTATGAAGGTAAATGTCTACGAATAGAAAAACCATCATTTAAAGATATTTTAAGTAATGGAATAAGCTAAATAACTTCCAGTTTGATGCAGAAGTTGTCAGCATAACCTGACACCTGATTTATGGATCACGGACCATTCAGTGACTTAAATTTTATCTACCAGCCATCAATTGAGACAGTTTGAACCATAAATTAGTGTTCACTTTACGTAGTTTAAGTAACTTTTTCTCGAAGACCTAGATGAAAAAGGGTTCATAGGCACTCGGATCACATATTATTTTCTTTTGGTAAAACGTCTAAGTTTAATTCTGCATACTAACTTTGAAAAGCATGATAGTTTCCGTATCCACAGAATCTCATACCATGAATCGATGAGGGCACTTACTGCTGCGGACATTTTTGTAATGCAACAGAGATTTTCCCATTGTTTAATGGTTTCCGACAGTCTTACAATTCATTTTAGTAAAATAGTTAACAGCTCCTCAGGAGCTAGCTGATTAGGAAATATGAACTAGTCATCTATACTTTCAGGGTCAATTGCTTATTTTTATTATGTCCTTAACGGGCTGTTTGTTATCTAAGCAGATGAATGTAGTCAATCAGTTGCTTGTGACTTGTCAGACAGACAAAATCAACGTAGAACTTCACACACAAGTGCATCCGTTCAAGTTGCCACAGTTCACAGTTGTATACAAAGAACAGGTGGATACATGAAAAGTGATGCCAAAATAGACAAAGGTGTATGGAAGGAGGGTAAATCTAAAACATTAAAACTTCAGAAAAAATCAAATAGTGAATATATCTTCACCATCCTAACTGGTTTTTACGCATTTCAACAGGAGTTCTCAACTAATGATTCCTATCATCCTACGGACTCCGGCCAAGGGGTCTAAGCCTCCTTACAGTGACTAGACCAACAATCAGGAACTTCATAGACTAGTGTCATATCTCAAGTTGACTACTCGGAGAACCTCTTCAAATAAAGCCCAATTTCCGCCAGTATTCAACACTGAGATAAGCCATGGCTGGCTAAGCTTATGACTACTAAAAATGAAGTGCACTTACAACTATAACATGAAACCAATATTAGGTATCAGGATGAATAGCATGAGTTATGAATCTAAGAGTCTATAGGTGATCGGTAACAATAAGTACGTTTTGATAAAATTCCTGAAAATATGTTCAACTTTCACGAAAGACACTTTCACAATGGGATAAGAAATTTCATTTTGTTGACCAATAGCATATTGTCCTTGACATGTGGCGGTAATTAGACTATATTATTATTTGAAGGTATTCCGACTAATAATCGACTGGATGGTTTGAAAAAACTTGGCACCGCGTTAGTATGATTCGTTGTATAGGGTGTATTGTTAATTATATAGTCCCAGAGTAGTATATTAGAACAAATAACAAAATAAACAAATATTTCGTATTATTACTCAACGTATAGATATTGCTCGGAAGATCCTTTTCAAGAGTATGAAACCGACATTCAATTTTAAGGTTAATATTCAAGTTTTGGTATAGATGGTGGTGACCACTATATTCATCCAGTTACGTCGTGATATGGAACAAAGGAAGATGTAATACAGATGAGTGAATAGTCAAATCGATTAGAGGCTTTTCCCAGTTGTGCCAGTTAGGTGGAACAAAAACAAGGTGGGAAAACATTTTCCAGTATACTACGCCGGGAACACACAAATAAAAATACATCTTATACAACATATTATTAGTATTATTTATCCTTCGGGTTCCAAATAGAATACAGATATTCAGTAGAAAGTCACCATTTCAATCTCGTATATGCAGTCTTTTAACCTTACTCCAACACTGCTCAGAAGCTTTCATTTCTTCCTCACAACATCAACTCCATATCATCCTCACCTCGGAAGCACAACTCGTCGTTTACCATTCCACTTCCATTCCACTGCCTGACACATGATATCCCCAACCGTCTTCTCAGAGTGTGTAAAATCCAATCCAGCTCCACTTTCTTCTGCATATTTGTTGGGCGATGGGTTCTCTATTGGTTCGTTGGGAGGCCAGAGAGAGTTTCTTGCTGCTCGTTTTCTCTCGCCATCTATCTGATCTTCGGTGTCAGTATTGAGTGATCGTAAATGGCAGCTGTTGATGTAGTCTGCAGTTGTTTGTTGAAAACGCTTTTCGTAACGCGCCACCAAGTGTGTCAACCACCACATGGAAGCAGTGAGTTGACTGACATTAGTGTTTGAAATCGGGATGTTGTTCACGCTTTATGCTGAGTGGAGTGGAGTGTAGTGGAGTGCAGTAGATCTCCTCACTGATTGTTTCAGTTGGATGGAGGAATGTGTGTTTTGATGTTTTCCTGATCCTGGTTGCATTGACATGCTAATGTGTGCCACCACCACCGCCTGTAATTGAGACGATGGTGTATTGCCTAGGTAGGTAGGTAGGTAGGTAGGTTTGTGGGTAGGTGTGTAGGTAGGTAGGTGTGTAGGTAGGTAGGTATGTGGGTAGGTAGGTAGGTAGGTGGGGGAGACAACTTCCTTTCGATTTCTCCCATTGATGGTGATTGGTGCCAGTTGTTGTTGCCGCTGTTGGTTGTTTATCTCCATCACTTCTGTATTGTTGAGGTTTAAATGAAGTCCTGTCCTCGCTGCCTCGTTTCTTCTTCTGTCAACATTTTGGTATTCCCCTTTCCTCACTCGTCACAGTTTGTTGCTTGAACCAGTGTAGTCGAGTCGACCACAATCAGGAAGATGATTGTTGATAGTAGGCGGTAACCTTGTCTTACTCCTGTCTTCACTTCGTAGACTGTTGGGAGGAAATTTAGCTTCCATTTTTATTACTGAATACACTTCTGAGCATCAATACTTACAACATTTACCGAAAGATGATTTTTAAAATTACAAGCAATTGAAGGATGGGCTCTAATCTTTACGCAAATGTCAGAACAATGAAGTAAGCTTACATTCAGTTAACTCATTATTTCATATGAGTTACGATAAGTGGTTTGGATTCCAATAGCAACCAGTGTAAAGTAATAACTCAGGGCTATCAATGATCAAATGACTTACTTCAAAGGTCTTGTCATCTAAATACTTTTCTAAACAGGTTGCATCCAGTTCGGGTGGAAGGGGACGTTGTTGTAGATCACTTAACGTATAGGCAGCTGAACTATAAGATGCTAATAAATCGTCAACCAAATCTTTTTGGCCATCAATTTTACCCTCCTAGATAGAAAAGACAAAAGTAAACGAAAGCGAGTTATACAATCCTATTAGATAGTTTATTCATAAGCTATACAGTAATATAGTACAATTATTATTTAGATGAGGTTTTAGGCATAGTTCACTGCTCATAATCACACAAAGGATATGTATCTGTGATTTAATATTATAATAATGATTATTTGGTATGATTATGAGCCGCAAATGGTATTCGGAATGTCATCCAGTATATAGTATTGTATCTTTTTATGCTATCTAGTGAGGAATTATACACTGTCATGGTCCCCAAGTTTTATTCCTGAATCAATGAATTACGTTACCATTCTGTTATTATTTGTTGAAATCTGTAGTTTCCCACTGTTATACTGTCCACGTGGATAACGTTTTGATGTTCGAGTCGGGATGGGAACATCAACTTGTTCATGTAATTTCAAGTGACTACGGAACTGATAAAGTACTTCAGTTCACTTGCTTTTTAAGCTCACAATCGAGTGACAGGTTTCTTTTTCAACTGTTCACTTTGTAGGCATTAAGGAATGATATTTTAACTGACAGATTACTGATATAATTCTCGTATGCTGGAAGATCGGTCCCAGTTACATCATCCTTGACTACTATGCTCACAATTAACACAAGGATACAATTGACTAAAGGAATAGGTACAGTTCCATCCCAGAAACTGAGTCTATTGAAAATATCTCCTGATGATGACCTTATCAGTCAAATTCTTAGTGCTCATCAGTCACACATGTGGAGTGGCCAATCTAAGTATTTTTCGGTTTCCAGTATTTAACGAATTTTACAGATTAGGTTTTGTTAAACACAGCTACCAGGCTAAGAGGCTAGTCATGGATCAACGTGACTATTGCGTTACACACTTCATTAGGCTTTTGTTATCCAAGCTTAGAACAAAACACATTCACTATTGAGAATGGGCTGATAAATTCAGTCACCATGACTCATATTCTATTCTAGACTTGCTCATCAGTTCCCAGTATTTGAATCCTATGTCGGATTTCAACTGATAGCTTCTACGTTTACAAAATTCAGATAACTACGGTGCAGAAAAGCCTACTAGTAGGCCAGAAAATCTACGACAAGAAACCAGACACATAAAGAATACCATACGTCTAAATCGTAACTCACCTAAATACATGAATAAATTCATAAGAAATCGAAAGAAAAATAGCAGTGGTAGTATTAGTGATAATACAGGTGTTATAAATGATAGTTCTACTACTAATAGTAGTAATGGTGACAATGTTGAGATAGAATTCAAAGTCTATGCTGTTTTACCATACAAGGAAGGTATCTCACAAGCATGATGAAGAATTCTCAATAAGGCTGGGATTAAAGTGTCATTTAAACCAACAAACTCATTGAAAAATAAGCTTTGTAGGTTAAAAGATCCCATCAATGAAATTAAACAAAATAATTTGGTTTACCGAATCCCTTGCAATGTTTGCGAGGTCAAATACATAGGTGAAAGTAGTCGACCAGGGTCGATTAGAATAACAGCGCACAGAAGCTTAGCTAAATCAAGATTAGTAGATTCTATTAAGATAAGAAATTTAGGAAGAAGCTCGGCTATAATTCTGCGTGCAGTTACGCGCAGTCACACGGTAGTGGCGGGGGAGGAGAGCGACAGCATTATAAACTAACGTAATTGGGTGGAGAGAGAAACTGATAGCCGAATCTTTCTCTGTCGTATCAACACCAAATACATGCAATCGAAATGATTCTGCACCTGTCCCAGATATAAAAATTCTACTACCTTCTTCTCAAAGAAGAATAGGAAATTATGACTGTATAAACTCTGTCTCAAGGTAGTAGAGTTATCTGACATGAATATGTGCAATCATTTATGTCCAAAATGTTATCGAGTAAATGATACTGTTTCACTGCATGACATTTCTAATAAACAGACTAAAATGGAATTAAAGTCTGTTACAGTCTTTCAAGTTTTACTCCTAGATAGCTACTGAGCTAGGCGGTACAACGTAGAGAGTAAACTCATGGTTCAATGTGACCACTGTGTTACACAGCTCATCAAGCTTTTATTATCCAAGCTTAAAAAGAACCACATTCATAAATGAGATTGAACTGATAAAGTTAGTCATCATGACTCATATTATGTTCTAGACTTGCTCATCAGTTCTCAGTACTTGGATTTCATGTCAGCTTTCAACTGGTAGCTTCTTCGTTTATGGAATCCACATGAACGTGGTTCTGTTTCACAAATATGTGACTCAGGATGTTCCTTACACTGAAGAAATAAACAATTACGCTCCGAGCCGGTCTTTCACCTTCATGAGGATTTAAGATTCACTTTCACTGATAAGTCTAAAAATATCCAAAACCTAGTGCTGATTTTTGATTGTTTATCACCAGCATTTCATCAGAGATATTTTAAGCAACTTTAAAAGCTTGTTACCATCACGTAGTTGGAACGGAGCGCGTTATGCATCAGTACGAACTATTTCTGCAGAAAGTTTATTACTTAGATAAATATCCTTACGATAGTGGAGAAAACTCCTCATCCACAGGATGAGGTTGATAATCATTTGTTCTCTAATCTTTAAAGTTTTGCAAAGTATTTCATCACCAGTATAGGAGACTGCATCAGAATTTGCTTTGATATGAAGTAAGCCTGGCCGTGAAATGTTGAAGAACAAACTCAAGGCTCTGAAAACACTAAGCAATTGTGATTTTTCGTTTTGGTTGCAGCTTGGGTTATACCAAACTAAAAGCTGTGCTTAGCTTTATAATGTAAGGTGCATTTTTTTATATTATACACACAAATAAACCTCCCATGAATGTTATATACATCTATTTGCACCTGAAAGGCATATACCAATTGTTTTGTTGAGAATAGCGCAATTCCCATGTAACGTCACTCTTAACACGATGTATTCTATTGAATAGCGTGCTATTATGCACACGATATTTACCATGCTTTATATTCTCTATACCTCACTCATTCAACGTGGAATTATTTGAACTCAAAACCACTCTGACTGATCTGTTGGTTTCTCCAGCAGCCAGACCAAAGCGACCAAAACAACAGACAGGCCATTGCACTCGTTTGCGACTCAGCTCATCAACTGTGTACCCAGATAAGTATACCCAACAGAGCCAACTTGTATAAATCACCTAAATTTAGCTAGCTGACTTGCATTAACCAGTATACACTGAAAAAGATGCCCATTTGGAAAATGATTTACAAAACTTGTTGACACTAAAGTTTGGTGGTTGGAAAAGCTACTCAGTTTTTCGAAATGTCAACGTCGACAGTGCGATTTATAAATCATTAGCAAGTTGATCATACTATTCCACGCGTACCGATCCAGGTAAGTCAGTTAGCCAGATTCACGTGCTCCGAACAATTTAGCTCTGTTAGCAGAATTTATCTAAGTACACCGTTGATGGACCCAGGCCAAAGCAAGCAAACTCGTCTTTCTGTGGTTAGATCATTCTGATCTGCCTGACGACATCTGTAGGTCAACCTGTGCGGTTTTCAATTATTTAAGTAGTTCATTAGTAGTATATTTGGTTGATTCATAATACTCCTGTATCACAGATCACACCTTTTGATCTTACCTGCGTGGTGACTTTCAATGAAAACCCTGTTGATATCACAGTTGGAAAATCCAAAGGGACGCCTCACTTGTAAGACATGTCGAAGTGGACTGTGCAATTTGTAAATCATATATAAACTGATTGTCCAAATTGGACGTCAGGGATTTTTATTCTTCAAGATTTCCTCATGAAAGTAAGTCACTGTGATCGATATTACATGCATGATAAAAAGTTACCAGTTTCTTTCATTTGCAGTTTTCTACCATTGGTATCTCTGTGTTAAATAACCACTGGAAACCAGAGGGTGATGAATTGAGAATTAATCTTAGGTCATCAGCAAAACCCTTAAACCTTTAGGTTACTAACAGATTTAGATCTTGCTATGAGCACGCTACCATCTAATCGTAGATTGGGAATTCAACGTTTTTAGTCAAATTCATCCATTCTCTAGTAAACTAGTAAACTGAACAGTTACTCAGCATCAGCTGCAGTAGCTTCTACACTCACATAGACCAAAAACTTTCAAAATCACGAAATAGTTTGAAAAATGACTGTAGGTTATCAATAAGAATCTCCTTGATGCTTTATTCGTCTGATTATAAAAGTGTGAATGAATTAAATCTTACCCCTGGCAGTAATAACCTTAGTCGTCTCATCAACATCAATCCATTAGTAAACGCCAAGTTGCCAGGTTGCTCAAACACATGAACATGAGAATGTCCCAAATTTTAAGACAACTATATTTAAATAATTGATCATTGTTCAAACAACACGAACACTGTTGTTCTTAGCATTTAGATTTTCAAGATATGAACTTAATTTATGCATATATCACATATTTATGCATGAAATGTCTTAAACGGTGTTGGTTGCACCCATAAGTCAACCAGTTACTTAAGTGTTTCCTGCTTCTTGAAGTTTCATGTTAGAAAAGGAAGACGAGGGTATGTGGGGTTTGTGTTAATTTGTGGTCTATCAGTGAAGATAGGAGTGATAGAAAAGGCTATTCTTTCTTCTGGCCTGGTTTGAATCACAAGAATTCTGTTGCCCTGGCGGTTAGTTGGAGGTGACCAACAGGAAGCCCTAGGCTTGCGTTTCGTACTTATTGAGCCTTTACAGCAAGGGAGATCCGAAACCTGAACTAAACTGTTCTCATTATTGTTATTGTCTGCTCTTAAACGCTCTTTTACTACTTTACGGGGTAATATCGATGTTCATCCATATGTGACAACCATTTGAAAACAAATATGATTCATTTGTATATTAGGATTCTTATTTATGATAATTTGCTTGGTTCTGGCTAGCAGAAGAATCCTGGAGGTGCATTTCGTTCTATTTGGAACTTGTGAGATGGATGTACCTCCACCTCAGTGAGTGCTGCTGTGATGTTGGATTCCTATACTAGCCACAACCAAGCAAATTATCTCAATTAACATTTAGGCGATATAGAAGCATCCACATAAGGGCGCATAAGCCGATAGAGGTCAAACAGTTCAATCCAATAAAACAACGGAGAATAACAAGTATATCAATAAATAGTAAGATTTTTAATTGTTATAATTCACGGTGATAGAGTATTATTTTCTCGATGATGTTTCGACAATAAATTTCTACTCGTAATCATATGAGAATAATCTAAACAACTTTCGATATCCAGTTTTTATGGTCCTATCACAAAGAAAAGAATATGAGGTGATAACAAAAATCAGTTGGCAAAGGTTGCCTGACTAGGTTGATATGAATATGATCAGTAATTCGTACTCAAAACGTAATGAAGTAAATAATACTGTATGATGTATCAGACAAAGTGTCTAATATAGAATCACATTCTATTGCAGTGTCCAAGTATTGTTGTTAGATAAACTAATGCAATTACACTATGACTTAAGAAATTGGTTCAAAAGTCCATTGTAAATACCGTTCATCATTACTATCATGCAACCAAGGCTAGATAGACGAAATAAAATGTATTCCTTGTAAACAGATGTTCATTAAGATAACGTGAGATAAGATAATGTAAAATACGTTTCTGGTTGAACAGAACAACAATGCATATGGAATGAGCTAAATGAACGCATGAAACAGTATGAAAAATGTCTTCACTGTTAGCAGTATTTATACACAAACAATTGAAAAGAAAACGACTCTAAATATCTAACAGAATAAAGACACCCGTATCTGAGAAATAGCCTTATCTCTGCTTTTTACGCTTTCGTCTGCTCCTAATGTTGTGCATAATGCAACATTCAGTGAGTCCCTGCTTCCACGAGATTAATTTAGTCATTCTTACAACTGTACCCTAGTTAAATATTCCAGGTTATAGCAGCAAGCTGCTAAGCCATTTGTAGAACATTTTCCACACTTAATGTAGATTTGCTTAAACTAACCGTGTGTTATTTATGACAGATGAGTGAATAGTGAAATCAGTCAGAGGCTTTTCTCAGTTGTGCCAGTTAGGTGGAACAAAAACAAGGTGGGAAAACATTTTCCAGTATACTACGCCGGGAACACACAAATAAAAATACACCTTATACAACATATTATTAGTATTATTTATCCTTCGGATTCCAAATAGAATACAGATATTCAGTAGAAAGTCACCATTTCAATCTCGTATCTGCACTCTTTTAACCTTCCTCCACCACTGCTCAGAAGCTTTCATTTCTTCCTCACAACATCAACTCCATATCATCCTCACCTCGGAAGCACAACTCGTCGTTTACCATTCCACTTCCATTCCACAGCCTGAAACATGATATCCCCAACCGTCTTCTCAGAGTGTGTAAAATCCAATCCAGCTCCACTTTCTTCTGCATATTTGTTGGGCGATGGGTTCTCTGTTGGTTCGTTGGGAGGCCAGAGAGAGTTTCTTGCTGCTCGTTCTCTCTCGCCATCTATCTGATCTTCGGTGTCAGTATTGAGTGATCGTAAGTGGCAGCTGTTGATGTAGTCTGCAGTTGTTTGCTGAAAACGCTTTTTGTAACGCGCCACCAAGTGTGTCAACCACCACATGGAAGCAGTGAGTTGACTGACATTAGTGTTTGAAATCGGGATGTTGTTCACGCTTTATGCTGAGTGGAGTGGAGTGTAGTGGAGTGGAGTGCAGTAGATCTCCTCACTGATTGTGTCAGTTGAATGGAGGAAGGCTTGTTTTGATGTCTTCCTGATCCTGGTTGCTTTGACATGCTAATGTGTGCCACCACCACCACCTGTAATTGAGAGGATGGTGTATTGCCCAGGTAGTTAGGTAGGTGTGTAGGTAGGTAGGTGTGTAGGTAGGTAGGTATGTAGGTAGGTATGTAGGTAGGTAGGTATGTGGGTAGGTGTGTAGGTAGGTATGTGGGTAGGTAGGTAGGTAGGTAGGTAGGTAGGTATGTGGGTAGGTAGGTAGGTAGGTAGGTAGGTAGGTAGGTGTGTAGGTGTGTAGGTAGGTGTGTAGGTAGGTATGTGGGTAGGTAGGTAGGTAGGTATATGGGTAGATGTGTAGGTAGGTATGTGGGTAGGTGTGTAGGTAGGTATGTGGGTAGGTAGGTAGGTAGGTAGGTGTAGGTAGGTAGGTAGGTAGGTATGTAGGTAGGTACGTAGGTATGTAGGTAGGTACGTAGGTAGGTAGGTAGGTATGTGGGTAGGTAGGTAGGTAGGTAGGTGTGGGAGACAACTTCCTTTCGATTCCTCCCGTTGATGGTGATTGGTGCCAGTTGTTGTTGCCGCTGTTCGTTGGTTTTCTGCATCACTTCTGTCTTCTTGAGGTTTAAATGAAGTCCTGTCCTCGCTGCCTCGTTTCTTCTTCTGCCAACATTTTGGTATTCCCCTTTCCTCACTCGTCACAGTTTGTTGCTTGAACCAGTGTAGTCGAGTCGACCACAATCAGGAAGATTATTGTTGATAGTAGGCGGTAACCTTGTCCTACTCCTATCTTCACTTCAACTTTAAAAGCTTCACTGAGGTTTCGATAGTGAATCACTTGGCATGTAGCATCATATATCATATCTTGAATGAGGTTGGTAAAGTTTTGTGTCACTAAAACCGTAGTATTGAAGCAGCTACCAAATTTCTTTTCGGTCAAATATATCAAAGGCCTTCTCAAATTCGATTCATTCGAGTTAAAGAGTGTACTATCATTCTATGAAATCGATTACACAATATTTCCTAACTGAGATATCAAACGTTTCGTAGATGGGTAGAAATCAATCGATAAAAAACACCCATGCCATTCAAAGAAAGATTACTGTTCGACGTCAACTAAAGCATGACTGCTTTTTATCCTTTCCCAAAACTACACCACCGATGACACTTCCTTCAACGGTCAAACTAAAAATAATTCACTTGTAGGTATATGGACATTTAAGAAAAAGCGACGAAACTAGCTAACTTTTCAGGATATGTCAAAAAATTCCACACAAATTTCGGACAGCGAAGTTTTTAAAGGTTAACATGTGAAACAAATTGAAAAGTTGTACGGAAGCCAAAGGAAATAATCGTGTATCTGATACTATATAAATATTTACAAATCTGTAAGCAGGAGATATGGACGTGACAACAAAACTATTCAGAAAAGGATAAATAAACAGTTGATTAAAACTCGTTAGTTTGAAAATCTTGAATACATTTTGCCATCAATATTTCATATTTTCAGATTATTTATTGATTTTGTTTTAAGCTTAATATAATTAGATGTTCAGATTCTATATTGTTCGACTTTTTGTCAAATATTAGACAGACAGCGCTATGAGATGTTTACTTTAGTCAGCTATCATGACCATGGCATGATCTAGTAAACAAAAGTTTACAACCTGATGTACGAAACAAGAAGTGGATGGTGATTATGTCAGCATCATACCAGAAAAATGACAATTTATGCGTAGCTAGCAACTAGATTCCATAATTCTGACAGAATAGATACATAAATATTCTTAACAACACAAGTAGCAAACGGGAACATGGATAATACTTTGGACGTCTACTAATTCATTCATATTTTAAGCCATATCCATACAAACTCATTTTTTGTATGAAAAAAGTATATCAACGTTCAGAGTTCAAGCGTTAGAAATATAAATGATCAAACAAGCTTAACGAATATTTATCTTATGGGCTAAACAGTATTTTATCTAGAGAAATTGTTGTTCAATAGACAATAAACTAGACCTCCTAGGACATCTAAGTTGTTATAATAAACCAAGAAAAGTGGTTGAAGTATTTGGACAATAGATACCCTAAAAATGTTGTCCAGATATATAAAGCTAGCAGATGGAATCCAGACAACATATAACAACTAGATGAATATTGTCACATCTTAGACAAGAATTGTTTTCGTTTTGTTATTGCCCCAAAAATGTTATTTTTTAAGAGGATTGGAGGCAGGCTGAAAATCTCTACGATGAAATATTGCCAAGTCACCAAACTTGTTTCAGTCAGCAATACATTATAGGCTGTATATCAATAAAAAAATTTGGAAGAATATTTGTCTCATATCAGTTCCAAGTATATCGACTTGATCGTATGTACCTAACATGGTGAGTACTTTGAAGGGAAGAAAAGACGGTTCACTGTCATGCCAGACAGAAATCTTTCGACTGTAGAATGCTATAGTTAGATTAGTTACCGCTTTTCTGTCGTTTTTCAACTAATAATTATCCATGCTGCCAACGAAGGTGGATAAGAAAAAGAAATTAAAAGCATTATTTCATAATTACTTGTAGTTGTTACTAAGAAAGTAGTTCTTATGACCCAGTGACCTAGAAGGTAACACCTTGGTGTTTGAAGCAAAGTGTAGGCTCTAAGTTTCAGTAGGAACATGATCACTGATCATCCGGCTGACGAGTCTCACATGGGACTAAACATCCGTCTTGAATTTCCCTGCTAGCCATGAACAAGAAAATCATAACATGGAAAGTAGTCAGGCAATATATAGATATTCACTTTGGAGCCCATATGTCAACATTGGTCGAAAAGTGCCAGCCACTATTACGACGGAAAATTACAAGTATCAATAAGTGATATTTATCTATGCTAAATACCACCAATGAAATTTCATTAGTTTATATATGTCGAAAAAATTTAGTAAAATGAATTTGTTTATTTAGTAATCCTAATAATAACCTAAAAAGGTTTAATTCTAGCTCACTAAACACAAAAAAGAAAATGTCACCCAAAACTTCATCACACCACTACTACTGAATTTCGATTGTAAGGTAGAATGGATCCATAATCATCTGAATCAATCAGATGATTACCTTGATATTCCGATGGAGGATAGAATAAATCTACTTCTGACGTAATGATTTCCCTTTAATGGATATTATCCACTATGCAACTAATAGTTTTAATAATAACTTGACATCTTACCTAGCATCCACCTTCATACGATAGTTTGAGCATTAAGGCTTCAAAGCATAACCTAGTGATCAGTTACTTGTTTCGATTTGCCTTTGAAGTATGTATCTAAGGAGCTGTATACTTAGCAGGATTTAATAACACCATTACTTTCATCAGAATCTCGTAGTGAACACTTTAATCATCCAGCCACAGGATAAGAGTCAGTCAGTTGGAAGTTTCCTGCTTCTGTCATTCCACGAAATGGCATGAATATCTACCAAACGTCTTCAATTGATAGTCGCTTCACTTCCGATTTGTTGCCTTCACAGGTCACAAATTTTATCAAGGTAGGTGTAGTGTAATAATAAATTACTTTCGTGCACATAAAGGTGGTTTCAATTTGTGTATGGTTATCATTTCCACAAATCTAAGTATATGTCCCTGACTATTTCTGTATATAACTTTGCAGGCTGTTTGAATATTAATTTTGTGACCTGTTTCTACCATGTGTTTAGCTATAGGTGAAGAGAGTTGTCTCCCCTATCAGTGATCATCAAGGTTTCACACTCTACTTGTTTTTAAAGCCATTTAGGTACTCTTTCGAGGTACAGTTTTTATTCACTAATGTTACGTTGTCTATTCTTTGTAACTACATATCTTCTACAAACCTCTTATTTTCTGCTACTCAATCTTTTCTGAGGGAACTATTATTTCTGTGTACCAACAAAGTCCATCTCACATTTGAAGGTAAACGCTTTCGACGAGTTGATGGTGTAGCTATGGGTAGCCCCTTTTGGACCATTACTAGCTGATATTTATTTGTCATATGTCAAAAATCTGGCTGATAATCTCATCGCTACCGTTTTCTTTACAAGAGATGTGTTGACAAAATCATAGTGATTTGTGAAAAGCATGAGGATATGATTTGTCTTCTACAGAACATAACACCGTACAAACTCACATCGGCCTCACTTAGGAGAAAGAGAAAATAATAATCTGCCACTATTGGACGTACTCTTGAGTAGACGAGAAGAGGGTTCATTAAGACGGTCAGTTTACAGAAGACCTACATGGACAGGAAAGTACCTGAATTTTCACAGTTTCTGTTCAATCCCATACGGGGGAATTCTAGTGAAGTGCTTGTTGAGTAGAATCAGTCGTACATCAGATACGATGGATGAAGATATCAAATTAATGACCAAAATACTTATGGAAAACGGATATCCGCTGAAGTTCAAAAACCATTGTAAAGGCAGGGTAGCACCAAAGCCAACTCTGTTCATGGTTCTGAAGAAAAAAACAAAACATATGCCTAACCACAAACTTAAACACTGAATCACATGTTGCTTCACATTCCACTATGTTTATCAGTTTTCATGTGTCCATGTTCATACATACACAGGGAGGAGTAATCAGGTCACGGGCTGAGGGTGGGAGAACATACACATAAATGGCTTTAAAAACAAGTAGAGTGTGAAACCTTGATGATCACTGATAGGGGAGACAACTCTCTTCACCTATAGCTAAACACATGGTAGAAACAGGTCACAAAATTAATATTCAAACAGCCTGCAAAGTTATATACAGAAATAGTCAGGGACATATACTTAGATTTGTGGAAATGATAACCATACACAAATTGAAACCACCTTTATGTGCACGAAAGTAATTTATTATTACACTACACCTACCTTGGTAAACTTTGTTTTCTTGTTAAGATTAGGATCAACTATTTCACTCTTCCTTTTAGTCCTCAATTCTTTTAATTGTAATTGCCTCTTATCTTAATTATTGTATTTGTCTTTCCATCCTTCGATTTAACATAAATTGACTTGACGAGTAAATATGTGATTGGACTGTTTGAAATTTGTTGTGTACATACATTGCTTTGTTCAGATAAACGTCATCATCTAATTACACTAGTTAAACTCATAAAAGTTATCAAGCACTTCAAATTATGGGGATTGTACTTATTTCAAGAAGGTATTTATTACGAACTGAGATCTGTGCATGCTGTTAAAGTGTCATATACTAGAACGAATAAATACTCTTTGCTCACAGGCTTTTAATGGTTTTGTAGTTGATGTGAGTCTATGATAAATACTTCCTTGAGATTATTATTTATTTCGCAGTTTGCAGCCTTCATTTGACACTGAAATATTTTTGTATCAAGTTGTAGTAATTATCACTTTCAGACAAAACTCTGTATATCCAACTGTTCTTGTAATGTTCAGTTTGTACACCACTCAGTATGAAGAAGAAGAAGATATGTTCACACATGATATATACCAAAACCTGAAGAGAGATTTTGGAGCTTTGTTACCTGGGAGAAGGGAAAACACTAATCGTCAAGTGACTTTAAAAGCCACTCTAGCCACTGCAGAGATAGCCAGTCGCATTTGTTTATTTTTTGATAAATTAACTTTCTAGCTGGAGTACAGAGACCTGAATGGTTATTTCAGGAATTGTCAGAGTGGCCTCAATTTCACTTCAAGCTTCCAATACCATCTAATATATTGTATTTGGATGCAGAGATGAAAATTCTTATCGAACCATTAATTCAATGTTTAGTGGACAATGTGCACAGTATTCAAAGTAAGAGGATACATTTGTATTTTTTTATGCTTACCTCAAATTGATGATAGGCTACTGCATCAGATATTCTAATGTACGGCGGGAATAAAGCTAAAAACTCCGGTGGTTCTAATCCAGCATAAATTAAATATGCCTTTGTATTAACTGAAATATAATGGTAAAACAAAAGAAGACAAATGATTATTTAATAAATCAGTAAATTATAGAATGTCGAATAAATAAGTTTCTCTCTAAAGGTACAGTAACAGTGATAGGTGGATATTAAAATTTCTATAAAGTTTAATTTATACTTAAAGAACAGTCAATTTTAGAAAAGAATCACTGAGGCATAGAGGAATTGTAGTGGTATAGAAATATTGTTCATCGACCTTGATCAAACAAAACACCCCAAAGTAATTTAATCAACATACGTGTAATCATGCAGGCTTTTTGAAAAGTGTGTCTTTGTATCAACGCCACATAGTATTGCAACATACACGTCTACAGAATAATTTCTGCTCAAAAACTAAATGAACTGTTCAAAATGAATGGAAAACAATTACCATCATCATCAATATCAACGTAGGACCAGGCATTACTGCGTAACGGTTTGAGTTGCCACAGCTCATATCAGTACATCAGATAGATAGGTAGTGAGGTCAAATATGAAGACAAGAAAATTCAGTCAAAAGAAATATAAAGTATGAGAAGAAAAAAAGGAAGAATGACAAAACGGTGAGATTTGGTATAGTGTTAAGATGGAGATAATGTATGTATGTACACCTGCGCCACTGACATCAGTTCTGAACCATATCACCTAGAGTCTCCAACCACTGGTTCCTCTTGTCCTGCGGACCCCAACCGGTTAGCATGTATCGCCCCACATGGCTCAAACCAACAGTTAGAGACTTCATGCATTGGTACCTTGTTTTAGTCTGACCACCTCAGGCCTTTTTCAAGCCTAGACCTACTTCGAGAAAACAGTTTTAGGCTACTTTGTATTCATTTACATGTTCGATAGATTTCAGTTACTTTCAAAGAATACTAAGCGTTTTATTAGTTACAACTTTTGGTTAATAAGAATAAGAAGGTGGGTTTCAAGTCAATAGATGTTATTACATCATTTTCCTTTGCTTAGATTTCACATGTTCTTCATTGTTAAGATTTTCAATGACAAGATTATTGATAAATTTCATCTTTTTCAAGGTCATCACACTGAATATGTAGAAGATGCACGTAAAACATGAGATCACGAAGAAAAGTTTTAATTCTTTTGTTTTACTAGTTACAGTGACTTGAAAACCTACCATTGTTAGCGACATTCATTCTGTGATAAAGGAAGTAAACGTCAAACGATTCGAATACTTCTAAACTTCCTTGTTTAAATAATTTCTATTTCATAATCGAATGATACTCTTTGATGAAGTATCTTGCAAATGATTGAAAAGATTGTTAGCCTTTTATAATGGAAGTGTCTGGATACCAACTGTGTTGTAACGCTGTGACTGCTCATATGTTCATAGGTGTATTGTCGGTTTCCAAAGCCATACAGAAAGTACAGAGATTTCCCGATAGAGTAGAAATAAGGTGAGTTGTGTGTTTAAACATTTACTAGCTTCAGTTTAACTTTCCTTGTGGTCAAAAGTTAAAACTGTAGAAGACTACTCATATATGCAAGTGATTTACTAATTGAAACCGATGATCAGAGATTTATAATCGTGAAACGCTAACCGTTTGCCTTTAATTGTTGTAGTAATCAAGCAGAATGATGAGAGTAAGTTGGCAGAATGTTTCCCGCTAAGGTTTCATACTGGTCAGTAAAGCGTATATGACGTCTTCTCTGAGATTCAAAACCTTGTCACCCACTACTGAAGTATTCGGGCTTTGGTTGTGTCTACAGTAGTTTTCCAATGCTTAAAAGCCATGAGCATACCTTGCATTCTTTCAATAATACCTCAGTCCACTCGCTGAACGCATTCAATCCTTTTTACTGTCGTTTCTTTTTCGGGGCAAGTTCACATTTACTAACCACAGCCTTTTTATAATAGCACTTTAATATAACAAACACGTCTCATAATTCAGATTTTCATCAGTTGGCCAGCTAACTGGAAGGGACAGCAGATATGTGTCCGTTCAAAGTGTAACTGTTTCTTATCAGTGATTGTGATTGGTCACAAAACTTACACGTATGGACCATCGTTAGTAGTCTAAACATTTATCTCTCTCGATCTGCTAATTAAATACAATACTGTGCGAAATAGAGACACAAATTCGATTATGGGCGTAAATAGTTAGAGCACTACAATTTCACTAAGAGGAAATGGATGTTGACAGTTCAGAGGAAACAGTAATAACGAAACGAACAAGTTTATAATGAAATTACATGTGAAATAGTTGACTTACGTTTATCCGCTAAAGCTTTAGACGTATACATTGCAGATTTACGTACAGCAAAGAAGCGAGCACGGCCTGTGCCCGTCAGTGCAGAAGGTTTTGTGTCGTCTAGGTCAAGTGATCCTTCGACTGATGTCTGTGAACCATAATCATAATAATCATCAAAAGATGTACTCCATCTGAAATCATCCTTATATTCCATTGGAGTGAATGGGGCCTGGTATATGTTGAGCATGATCTTTGCAGATTCTGTGGTGTCAATCGAGATTTCATAGCACTAGATAGGGGCCACCATCCCTGCCAAATATAAACAGCTGGTAGTCCGGATACAATGAGAAATAAGGCTGAAATTCGAATATAGGTGTAATAACATGTCAGTAGAAAAGCTTATGATAATGATGACACTGATGCACAGATATTTTGACTGGTTATTCCTTATCTCACCATAATCATTGTAAAAAGTTAACTGGTAGCATCTTCAGTAATTTATCATTAAGTTGTAGAATAAGTAAGAAAAGTCCTAAAATCTACTTATATGTCTCTAAATAAAGTTTTCCTTCATCTTATAAATTGTTTGATCTTCTTTCAGTGCAGTATGAGTCGTTTTCATAAAAAGAAATCTATCAAGTTGTAGCTTCTGAAGCAAATGTAAGAAATACAACTAATGAATGTCTAATAGTGAGCCGAAGGATACCATTAAGAATTTTGAACTCTTAGTATAAAGCGAACTACCAATGTTAATTTTCAGTTGCCAATAGTTACAAACTATACACATGAAAGTCTTCAATCACTGTTTTTGACTTGAGTATATGGATAGTTAATCATTACTTTGATTTCCAGTAACTCGAATAAAACAGCGCATCTTATTAGTTGTCTGGAAGTATTGGATAGGAAGCCCATTACTTAGATTTCATACTTGTTGGGACTCGTCAGTATGGCGTGTATGTAACCTTGAAGAGACTAATGACTTCCGTGAGGTTCAAACCCACTTTATATATATTGCAGTCCACGACAATACCAATATGATATTCAGACTACGCTTGGGCTTCTATAGGGTTGGGATAGATACACTGAGTGGTCACTAAAGGGAAACAAACATTTCGACCAGCCCTAAATGCTTATTGGTAGACCCAGGTTCGAATCTCACAGAAGGTATCAATTCACTCAGGGTTGTAAATATACCTTTCTAAAGAGTGCTAACAAACATGAAACCTCATGAAGCAGGGCATCTTGCCAGTTGCCTCAACCCAACTGACATCGTTCAAAGTGTACTGCGATAGTGTGACTCCTAGCTTGGTGACCACACTGAATAATGATCGAAAAAATTAGGCCAGTACTCTTGGCTAGACAATAAAAAGTTGGTTGCTCCCCAATGAACAAACAATATACTTCACCTTTTGAATGATGTAGTTTAGTAAACTAGAACGTCACCTATTTAGCCTGTTTTCTTTGCATCACAATTGTTAATCTTTGTGAATGATATTTCATCTTTTTAAGCAAAAAGTGGTGTATTCACACCTCCATGAGGACAGAGGCTACACATCTGATGAATCTCAAATAAGGGGGAATCATGAAGTACCTCCGGTGTCACGCACGTTGTTCAAAGTCGCTGATTAAGGTGAGTAAAGGTATCAGATGACAAGAATTTCAGTATTTACAAAATAGCAGGATCTATAAATAATCTGGGGTAAAGTTGTGCTAACACCATGAATTTACTGACCTATTACCATATTGCATGTGTTTTTTACCAACCCCTAGTAAGGTCATGGGCGTGTACTGCTGAAGATCTCCATACTAGAAGGAAACAGCTGTTTGGTGTTCCCAGGCTTCCAATATTTATGCAACTGATGTCAGTCCAAGATGAATGCCAGTCTGAAACCAACAAATAAATCCCCAAAAACCTCCTAATTGAATTAACCTAGATCTTACTCGTGACTTGCTTCGACAAGTGATTCCCAAAGTTTCGACGAGAAGTAGTGACTAGTGGGGTCAGTCAACTCAAACATATAGACAGGTACTCAGCAACAGCATTGGATGGAGGTCGCGCTATATCGTGAACTGACAGAAGTTGGAAATATAGATAACTGGATTACGACTAATTGACTCAATGGTATTGTGCTAGCCGCAGAACCTGAAGGTCCTAGATTCGGTCAGTGAAGGATTCATGGGTGCGCGCTGCCAAGTCTCATATTAGGAGGAGACAGCTGTCTATTGCTCCCAGGTTTTCAATACTTCCCCAACTGATTTCGGTTTATGATGAATACCAATCTGAAACGATTATAATTCTCACAAACTTCTAAATTAAAAAATAAGATGTCTAACAGGAAGTCGCCATGACTATCATTGTAACTCAAGCGTCTTAACAGACTTTAATTGATAGACTAGTCTTCACGCTGTCTAACAGCGATTGAGGTGAACATAAAGACAAATATTTTTGGAAGGATTTAAACAATAACCCTTTAAGTAGCTATTTCAACATTTTACCGACTGATTGAAGGGACGCAGCTGTTGACCGTCTATAAACTTTACTTCTTTGAGCTAAAACTTAGAGAACACAACACCATCAAAGTCTAAACGTAACTAAATAAGAGTACAGGAGCAACTGGTTGATGATGGGTAAGACAATTCGTGGTAGCTGGGGTCGGCTGATTGGAATCATAACACCATCTACTTTTTTGCTTCAATTTCAGTCATTATTTCATTGTACAATCGATAATAATTCACCCTTTCCTTGGCATAAAATATCTATTAAAAGAAGAATGAAATTCCAGCCGTTAATGTCATTGGTTCTTTTTGGACAAGAAGTAGTGATTATTATTACCTGTAATTCAGCAACCGAATCTACTTAAATTATTCTTAATAATGCATCAATTTATCATGGTAATAATAAGTTGCACAAATTTTTCATTGTTTTATCACGTTTTTTTTTTAACCAAATTGTCTACACTTGTATGTAAGAACAGTAACGATAAACAATAACTCCTTGCTTTATTAGGTTAATCATATGATGTGTAAAAGATATACACGTTCAATAACAAAACATTGTTAGAAAAAATTGTGGAATGTCTTCCTATTGATTCAAAGGTTTTGTGTTTTTTTCCAACTCTCTATAAATTCACACATTAAGATATAATTTCATATTAGCACACTGAAAGAATCATGCTACCAATTATGTTGGCCTTAAAGTGTTTTTTTTATAAATTACAACATAGGTATTAATGAAGCGTGCCACAGAGGCTGTAGGCGAAGCAAGAATAAGTGAATAATAAAATTTCAGGAAGGAGTTTAATCTGGAACATCAATTTTTTAGAATGAGATAAAAATTAGATGTAATGTGTTAGACTGAAAATTGGGAAGACTGACGCCAATTTATATATACCAATCTTAATCACTTCCTCCAAATGTTAGCCTACAATGGTGTTTTCAAATCATGGACAGAAATCAATTTGTGAACGTGTAACAATCAAAAATCTTCAAAGAAAGAGTACTGTTCTGCAGACTATTAAAATAATCTTATACTGTTATGAGTTTGAACACTAATGCTGATCTCATATCCTTATGCTAGTTCACTGGGTAACATTTGTCAGTGTTCATTTGGGCAACCTCATTCCTCGTACTGTCTAGTTGATTCAAGATGTGTTGTTTAAACTTCCATTTGGTTTCCTCTTTTTGACAGCTTCACTAGTTAACAGTAATTCTCCTGAATGTGAATGTTTCGTTTTCGCGTGCATGAGTGTATATATGAGTGTTTGTGTAGGCAGAGAAGAGAGAGAGAGAGAGAGAGAGAGAGAATCAGAGTGACCATTCTCTACTATACTGTTTATGACAATTAAAGTTGCTAGGATAAGCTTCGAAAATATAAGAGATATATTTCGTACGGATTGGTCATGAATGAGTAACTTGTGTTCAACACTGCAATTTGACCACTAGGTTCGGTGATATGAAACTGCATTCGATTCTAATTTGATGCTGGAGTGTTGAAAGTCAACAGGAAAGGAACCCTGGAACTAGATTCTGTATTTTTTTTTATTCCTTTGAGCAGGATGTATTCGGTAAATTCTGTGGATCAGAATCGAATCACTGAAGGAGCATCAGCTTCTTCATGGTTGGACATATGTCTTGCAGATAAATGCTCATACTTACGATAACTAGTTCCAAAGATTCCTACCGACTGAGTATCAGCATCTAATATTCTTAGTATACTATATGTTTACGATCCAGTTAACTTGTTTATCCATATAAATCAACTAGGAGATCAAGAGTTTGAAGCAAGTTTCATTATCTGATAAACAATATAATCAACCAACATAATTTAACAATATCTTTATTACAAATTTTGAAATTCAGCAATTAAAGTCCTACGTTTGTCCTCTCAGATTACTTAACACATCTATCTATTTGTACAAATCAATAGTGCATGCATTGAGTTCCAAGTGAAGATGCATGACTTTACTACCAGACTTATCCTTAATTTTTACGTACTTAGTGCAGTAATTCCTTTCAGTTTCCAGCTTAGAAGAGGCATAACTATCTTATAACAACGAAAAACCACGTATTAACTTAGTAGTTAATCTAATTTTGTTAAGCATTATTTTTATACTAAGGAAGTTATGATATAGACATAGGAATCACTCGTATTTAGCGTCTCTTTTGAATAATTCGTCTCTCTATACCTTTCTTATCTGTATAAATCCTCGCTGGTAAATAGATTTCATGCAGGACAATGCTATTACATAAAAATCAACTTACAATAAGTCATCTCCGAATTTACAGGCAACTACTTCAAGCTTTCATATAGCGTTACCGCTTCCAAGTTAAGTCAATGTTCTACTTCCAGATTTAAATATGATCAGATAAAGATTTAGGAGAAATCCGCAGGGAAGTAACAAATGAAGAAATTCTCTTAAGTTTGGATGATGTTATTTGTATTATCTCGTCGTTGAATGCACCTAACTGATTGGTTCTTATGGGCAGATGGCCCCTCTACAGGTACCTCTATATTGCCTGTATTTTCAATTTTACTATTATTGATGGATATCGGCTACCAGTGAGATCTGTGAAGCACGTTTCGTCCATATGTGACTCGTCAGCTGGATGCACCTACCTCTCAGTAAGCGACGTTGCGTATAACACTCTGGTGTTTGAAGCGATTGGTTAGGGTTCGAGTGGTAGTGGGAACAACATCGCCCGCTGGGAGGCAGGTACACCCAACTGACGAGTCCCAAAGAGGACAGAACGCGCATACTTGGTTTCTGTCCTAGCCACTGTCCATCACGAATATCTCCTAGGTTTGGTTTCGTTAAACCAAATGTACAGTGAGTAGTGAAGAGTAAGTGTATGTACTAAAATCAGTCACACACGTTTCATGAATATGATCCAGCTACTATGATCTATTTTCATTTTTGATTATCCAATAACGAAATAAATTTTCAAATAGTATTCGAAATAGATATTATATAAAACAAGTTTATTCTGAAGACAACATGTGAACTTCACACAGTTACCTTAATAAATGAGTGAGTAATGATTAAAGTCAAAATAGCTAGTATTGTGAAATATTAGAAATTTGAACCTAAACTCTCATACCCTTAAGCAACCGAATTGAATTTACGAAGATCAAACACTAACCATCTCATTGAAGAAATAAACCACATATCTGTGTATACGTTTACAAATAAACTGTATTCACTGTCATAAAAGAGATAAAATGAAATATTAGAAGTCTTCTTAACTAAAATGAAATATTTTCATTTTAATCCATTTGTTATGCGTATCATATATACTGATATAGTAATACTTACTGGATGCCTTGTTTCAGACATAATTTGTTGTCCAAAAACTATGATAAATGGTCTAGCTATAGTTAAGTTTTTCTCTAGATTTTTCCATCTTTTTTAAGATCTGCTAATCTTGATTTAGCTAAGTTTTTACGCTCAGTTAGCCTACTTGACCATTGTACTTCACCTTGTAATCATATGTATGTGGTTTAACACAATCATGCAATAAGACGGAACAAATCACCAGTATTAAAAACTAATTTAGTTGGATGGAGAAAGGGATTACTAAATCTTTATTTATTAAAGCAACACCAAGTATATGCAATAGAAATATATGGAGAGTTCTGTTATCCCTATCACAAAGAAGTGATGAGAAGTAGAACTACATAACCCATGTCTCAAAGCTGTGGAGTTATCTGATATGAGTATATACAATAGTCAGAAGACGAAGTATATCTAAACTGTGTTTTTATCCATGTTGGGTGATGATTGAAGGTGAAATGAAGATTTGGACTGCAGTTAGATTAGAGGTTGCAACTACCACGTTTCACGACCGGCGCAGCACCAACTGAGCTACGAGACCTGACTGCTGACCAGATTTTAATTGCCTCACTCTTAAGTGAGTTCGTGACACTTTACTATCGCTTGGTGGTACTTACATTGGCTGCCTAGTCAAGACTTCTCATCATAATCCAAATCTAGTGGAATTAGAGAGAGGGAGCATCATACTGATTATCATTTTGACTATCTGAGATAAGCGTGGTTTTGGAGACTTGTATTCATACTACATAACACTGAGAAGCCAGTGTAAGTAAAATCAAAAGACAGAAATGCGTCATGAATTCACATGGCAGTTAGACAACACTGTTCGTGACTGGATTGAAATAAAAATCTGGTTAGCAGTCAGGTCTTGTAGCTAAGTTAGCAGAGTACTAGTCCAAAAATATGGTAGTAGTCACTTCGAATGGTGCTGTGGCCTAAGTTTCCATTTCACCTTCAGTCTTCACCCAGTATCAACATGTCTACCAAATCACGGCTATCTCAGATAATCAAACTGATAATTGTTTTAATCGTTGTTATTGCTCAGATAAACTTCATTTTCTAATTAAAATATTTGAATTCATAAAGTGGTATAATTGTTACAATAAATTATGACTGAAATCTTATGCAGGAAGTAATACTGTTTAAGTCTGTGATACGTCTCATAAGCAGACTAAAATGGAATTAAAATCTTCTCCATTGCAGTGGTTATTCTTCGATAAAAATAAAACTCTAACTATAAGAGCTGAAACTAGGAAATACAAAGACGGCTAAGTAAGCTACTGTCAGTTATTCATTGAATTTGCACACTGAATCCAATTATGCCAGAATTATGAAAAATCTTCACACCACTGAGTGTAAAGAGATTCAGAACTGGGTTCTAGTTGGTTTTTAAACAAATCCAATATATAAAACTCTGTCAATAGAGTTTAAAAATACAAACAATTTATTCAATATAGCCTCTTAAGTATAAGAATAAACTTATATGATCATAGGAAAAGGAAGAAGATGATTATAATGAAGAAAATTGCATCTTTTTGATGAGCTCATTCTCTTAGCTGTGTACTCGTGAACATCCTATAGGAAAGAGAGAATATTCTTTTGCTATGCAACATATTGTAACCACTGACAGGAAATTAATTTGTAATTTTCTCTAGTTTCTACTGCATATTCACGAATAATGCAGCTAAGAAGATGAGTTCATCAATAAATATTTCTCCACCTGAATAATGAGTACTTCATGAAGGTTCAATAAAGTTTATATGAAGTCATTTGGACATAATTACTACTATATTCCATTCTCAGTTGACTTAGTGTGCTCATTAATCTGCTTTGAACTTTAGAACTACACATGACATAATGATGTTGCGAATGGATTCATCACCTCTTGACGGGTCTTTTATCAGTGCAAGTGGTAAGGAATCTAATTTAGAATGCTGAATGAAAGGAATATACTTTGAAGTTTTTGATAACAGTATCACAATACTTATGTACGGTCAAGTGATTTCATAAATTAGTCAAGATTTTGAACCGATGACAACTGTATCCCCAGATAAAAATGAAGTATTCAGTCACAAAGACTCCTTCATAAATGAAACAAAGACTCTTTGTTTCTAGAAAAGCTTCAGTTGACATCACTGATTGACAACGGTCTTTTGAGGTGAAAATGGAAGTTTTAAAGAATCAAGTATTTGAGAATAGATCAATCAACACAGATAAAACCAATAAGAAATGATGAAGGAAATCTAATTATCAAAGAAGAGAAACAAAGAACGATGGGCTGACCACTTCGAAAAGCTCTTGAATCGACCACCATCATAACTACCACCTGCACTTCGTCCACAAATACAACCGGAAGCCCCAGAACGACAAGTCCTGAACGCCATAAGGCAATGAAATGCCGAAAGCAGCAGGACGAGATGGAATCCCGCCAGAAGCACTGGGAAAAGACGCAGGGACAACAGCAGACATGATCACACCACTATTGCAGAAGGTGTTGAAGGAAGGGAAGGTACCTGGAGATTGAAAGAAGGGTTACCTTGTCAAACTCCCGGAGAAGGGCGACCTAAGTCTTTGCAAGAACTGGCGAGGGATCATGCTGCTGTTCAACCGGAGCAAGCAAAATATTAAGCCACATCATCTTAGAGAGACTGAAGGATGCGCTGGACTCAAAATTACTACAGGAACAGGCTGGCTGGATTCGGGAAGTACAAATCATGTGCGGAACAAATTGCAACCTACACTTCGCATCATCATGTAACAGAGCATAGAATGGCAGTCAACTCTCTACTTCAATCTCATCTACTTTGTAAAGGCCTTCGACGCTGGACCAGGGAAGAGATCCTAGAAGATTTGGATTTCGCCACCGATGATGACTTGTATCTAGCGTCACACGAACTTGAAGATTCATGGGCAAAAACTAACAAGTTGACAGAATTGGCGAGGCATCGAAGACAGGACTTTGAGTGAACATAGAGAAGACATGGGTGATGAAGATACCCAACCAACGACACCACCACCAACATCAAGCTTCAATCAACATCAGTGGAGAAATTTGAAGGAAGTAGCCTCCTTCACCTATCTAGGCAGCACTGTTTCAACCACAGGCGATGGTGGCACAAACGAGGACGTCAAAGCCAGGATCGGAAAGACAGCAAGACAGGCATTCCTGTACTAATCTGAAACCAGTATGGAGATCTACATTCAGCATAAAGCGTGAACAATATCCGGATTTGCAACACCAGTTCAGTCAAGTCAGTGCCTCCATGTGATGGTTGAGAGACTTGGCGCGTTACGAAAAGCATTTCCAACTAACTACAGACATTCATCGACAACTACCTACGCTGGCTCGTTACTGAAGCTCAGGTGGATTGCCAGAAAGATTAAGCAACAAGGAACTCACTCTGGTTGGCAACGAACCAACCAAGAGCTTATAACCCAACAAATATGCAGTGGGAGGAAGTGGAGATGGATTGGGTTGGGCATAGACTGAGAAGGCTGACTGGGGACATCACGCGTCAGGCCAGACACTGGAGTGTAATCGAAGTGGGAAACGGAGAGTTGAGCGTCGGAGGCGATTGTGACATGTTGGAGATGATGTGAGAAAGAAATGAGGGTTTGTGGGCAGTGGTGTAGCCAGATTGATAGATTGTAGAGAAGAGAGTGAAATGGAGACGTGCTACAGAGGCCGTATACTCCACTTGGAACCCAAGGGACAAATATTGATAAGAATAAAGAATCAAATTGAATCACAGCACATAAAAACACAAAAATGTTTTAACTTACATGGTTGGGATACAGAGTAAAGATCTCCAAGTAGAAATGGGAAGGCTGGTTCTATAACATTTTTTGATAATTGACTCGTTATTAGATTTTGTGAAGTCAATAATCTATCACTGATACCTTCAGCAGTCAATGCACTTTTTTTATTATTGGTAATCAATGTTTCATCGAACGGTAAGTTAAAGGATCTGGTTGAAGTGCGTAATTCAGTCGTTCCACACCCAGTTTACGTCCTCGATGATGTGTAAACTGCCAAACAGCTAGTCGACCATGCGCTAGAATGCAAGGAAAAGCATTATTTTTTATATACAGACTTTTAATTATACATAAAAGGTTCATTTACGTTTTATTTATTCAAATAAATTGAAAATTGGAGCAAATATAAATCATTTCATCCGCCTTAACACAATCTAAACTGAAAGAGATGTTTTAACACGTCACGTATAAGTTGTTCAAAATGAATAACGCAACAGTAATGCAGGCAAACTGTGCATCTCAGTGTCCTTAGTTAATGTCTTGCACTGAGTGAGCAAAATTATCCTAAAAATCTTCAGTTTTTTGAGTACTTCTTTTATTTTTGAGGAAGTTGAATATTTCAGGGGTTGATTCTCCTATACTTGTACTGATCATTGTGTCTTGATACAATCAACCTGAGTAATCCAATTATTGATGCAGGGTGCTAATTGGAGATGAGATAAAAACACCTGCATAATGGCAGGACCTGAACCAGCGGCCTCCAGATAACACCCAGGTGCACTGCGAATTGAGGATGTGATACTCATCTGTAGACCAGGTACTTGTTTCAGGTAACCCATCGATGGTAACCCATAGGTTATTTAAGTAAATATTATGCCTAGTTTGGACGAACACTGACATCATATAAGAGAAGGTAAAACCCACGGTGTCTGAAATAAATCAAGGACTTGGTCTGCTGACTAGTTCGAATCCCACCACAGCTCAAGCTTCTATTTAACCATCAGTCACCACCCTGCATCAGTGAAACAAGTCTACGAAACCATATCTATCTCACATAATCCAGATAGTAGTCTCTTCGTTCCGTTTCTGGTTACACTTTTATGGGGTAGAAATAAATGAAGCCATTGGGAAGTTTTGATTATTTCGAACAGCTAAGTACCTGCTATGTGACCTAGGTGTTTTAGATCCTGATAAACAAATGTCATATGAGTATGTATGACCGGAAAGTTAGAGAATGAGACAGTTATCAGAATATGTTCCGATTCGCATTGTTTTCAGCGTGCTAAAAGAAAGCGAACAGTGATGATAAATAAAGTCATTTTCCAGAAGTTCCTAATTCCCCAAACTTCAGTGATTTTTGACCTAACATTGTATTAGCTAACTTGGGTATTGATGATAGCCACATACATCACACTCAAGAGCCAAGGTAGGTGCATTGATTAGTGGCTCAGGTAGTTTTGTATTTGACCGGGTAAGCAGTCACGTGTTAGTGGAAGTGAAGGATTGCCAGCTGGAAATCAAAATCACACCAATTTACTACATGAAACCCATTCACATACATCACAAAGAAATACATTAAACAAAGAATGCTTTCATGATATGATTACCATTCATAATAAGTAATATAGCTAGCAATGGATAAAATAAAGAGAGTGTGGTTATGCCTCAGATCTACTCCTTCACCAATTCTAATTCACATATACAACAACAAGGAAATTAATTCAATCTGAAGGTTTATGGAGATTTATTAATTGATTTTAGGTTGGAATTTATCATGGACTGACATCAGTTTGAGGAACACTGGCAGTCTGAGAGCCGTTGACAGCTGCTTTGTCCCAGTATGAAACTCCTCAGCAGCACGCAGCCACGACCCGGCCAGTGGCTTAGTTTTAACATGCTGGCCACGTAACCTGAGGGTCCTGGGTGCGCACTGACGCGGAGTCTCATATCAGGACGAAACAGCTATCCGGTGCCCCGGACTGCCAATCTTTCTCTGACTGATGTCAGCTCATGATGAATTCCAACCTAAAATCAACAAGAAAATTAGTTTAACTCTTTACACACACTTGATCAGTGATAAAAACATTCGGTATGTCCGTCACTAATGGATTTATAAATGTATGTGAAAACGCATAACCGTTTTGTGTGGAAGAGAAAGCGGAAACGAAAGTCTGCACTGATATATGAAGATAAAAGTATAAGTTATTGCTTGAAAATCGCATATTTTACTGTCCATTTCATGCGTGTACTGAGTTGCACTGTACTGTAGGAACCAATTGAAAATCAAACGGTAGTCAAAAGAACAACGTTTTTTTCTATACCAACTTAAATAAAGCTATAGATTATACTTGTGTAGCAATCTGATACCCATTTAAAGACTATTTTAGCAATCATGAAGAATAATGGTTGCTGAGAAATAGCGTCAAAATCTGGGTTTCACAGTCATGTACAGTTATACTTGACGCCAAACATCAATCTACATTAAATACATTTAAGCCAAGTTGTTTTTTATAAAATTTCATTCAAAAGCTGATCTATTTTAGCAGTAAAAATTATGTAACTAAGCCATAAACACTACCAAAAAATATTGATGAATAAGTTTTTGTGACTGATTTCAGTCCGCAGATGAAATTAACATTATGGTATAACGATGTTTTACTTGAATAAGCTCAACTGCTGCTGTACAAACTGCATACTACATAAAATGGCATGACGAGAAATTTTTTTCGATCTGACAACTAGTTAATCAAGATTAAAATCAATTTTTTTAATTAGTCAGGATTTTCAGGCAAACGATCCTTTCATTAAGTTCTTGACTGTACTGTACCGTAATATATAGTTTAGGAATTTTGGATCCTGGCTGCTTTTAAATGTGTAACATTTCTTTGTGATACAGTAGCCTAGTGGGCAACACTGCCGTTTCAAGTGACCGGTTTCGGGGTCGAGTCGTGGTGAGAACGAAATTACTTACTGAGAGGTAGATACGTTCAGCTAACGAGTCCTAAATAGGATGAGTCCAGTGTCCTGGATTCCACTGCTAGCTTTTATCCTTCATTTCCATACCTAAAGCTTAGATATATGTCATCACTTGGAATTTGTGGAACTCTTACTGCGATATCAAAGTTCAACAGTTGGACACTGATCTCCAAGTTTTTTCTGTTGTCTTTCAACTTCTCTATGTTAGCTAACAAAGTCTGTAATGATGTAAGTGGCAAACATTTATATACTGGAATGTAAAATCTTTAAAAAATCTTTCTTGAGACTCATTTATAATAAATTGGGATCGAAAATGTTTAAGGTTACGTGTTTCATATCGAAATTATTACTTCAGTACTTTGATGAGGGTAGTGTACTGATGAAGCTAACGTTTAACAAGAATTAACTTATTATACTGTAATCATCAATACATACATTACCACTAAGCTGACATTTTTTTAATCGCCTAAGTCAACAATAAAATGAAGATTTTTCAGCAAAAATAGGTGGACTCGTTTCGACGTAAATGGTAGCAGTGCTCACTGGATTACAGAAAAATAGAATGAAGAGGGAATCGTTCTCATTATCTTGCTGTTTCACAACCTTGTTTCTACCAACCAACGAAAAGCACGATACACTATGGAGGTACCCAATTTCTGAATTATGATTTATTAAGAGGTTTTGAATGAATGCATACATCCATAACTTTTAATAAACCGAATGCATTTGGAAGCCACGCTAGTAACTAGTACAGTAGTCAATAAGGCTTCCTAATTATACATAAAGCCCACCTTTCCAGTCGAAGTGAACAAGTATTATAGGTTAAGAAATCGTTAGGGAAGCTTTCAAAGCAACTTCACTAAACTGGGATTTATGATTCCTTTAGATTCTGAACAATAAATACCAGATAGCCAGCTGGCGAGTCCTAAGTAGAACGAAAGACGAGTCCTGGATCCCACTCCTAGCTAATATCCATCATCAGTATATCAACCGGACATAGTTACCTGAAGTCGAACTTTCTACAGTAATCAGCATAAAATTTCGCTCTGCAGTTTCTTCTTTCTAATCCCAGAGCTATTTTATACCTGATCGAAGTATCAGGAAATAGATTAGGAAAAGCTTTTTTTATTCCACACCTGATCACTAAATTGGAGTTCAGGTGTCCCCACTTTCCCACTTCTGTTAATTTGCGATATATCGTAACTCTCTACCAATGTCTACGGTCGGCACCCACTTCCCTACCGACTGCTTAACTCCATGGGTCATAATATCTCATTACAACTTTGAGAGATGCTTCATGAAGCATGTCGTTCATGAGCACGACACAGCAACTTAGTTTGAGGTTTATGAAGATTTTATTGATTTCAAGGCAGTAATGATCACGGCTTCATAACTGGTCAAAACATTGGCCACAAGACATGAAGGTCATGAGTTCAGCCTTGTGATGAATACGACATTGAAATAAAACCTAAAATGACTAATAGGTTTTAAAGTAGCATAATAACTACTTACATTTGATTACATTCATACATAGTGGAAATGAGAGTTCATCCTCTGACTTCAAAATGTCTAGAAACTCTTTTGATATTTCATTTCTGTCGTTTTGATAAACTTCATGAATATTTGTTATGTTTACACCAAGTTCCGATGGACAGCTACAGGAAATATATCGAAATCCGTGAAAAAACAAGTTATTATTTAATTGTAAAGAATACTGTATTGAAACATGAAAAGAGTGACTACTGTACAGGAATTAATAGTTTTAAGGGATACAAATTAGGTGACGAACTGCAATCAACATGAGATAGGGGATGAACAACGTTGTCAAGAAAGTATCTTCGTCATGATGGATAACTTTTGTAGACAGACTATTTATAGTTAGGCTTTCCTCTTCTAGCACACTCATTTTGAAGGTTCTTTGCTAATTTTTCCCAATAACCTGATGCTAAATGAGGCATACCATGATGCTAGTCACCTTGTTGGTCGCAGTGAACACCTTGACAGGTCAATTTTAATGCGCGTTCGAGAAGAGAATATAACACACGTTGCTAGTTAGTCGGTTTTCTGGTTAACTCTCTTTTCGACTGTTTCGATGCTGAAAAAGGGGATATACGAAAAAACAGATTTTGTTGAACTGTCACTCGATCATTCATCATCAAAGAATACGTCAATTTTTAGTCTTGTTATGGTGACAGCAAATGTTAGACTACAGAAGAACTCTTCAGACGCATTCGAAAATATGCATATTAGCCTAACTAGTCAAATCACTAAAGTTAATGTTAAGCAAATTTATATTTTTTACGCTTTAATAAAATTGTTTCTTTCCAAAGGAAATATACTTTTGAAATTTCAGTCAGGTAGAGTAATTAATTTCTGACGTTTGACGAGCTCATGAAAGCCACTTCTGCATCGTGATTCAACATAATGCGAAATGCCCCAACCATCCCTCTTTCCTTATAGTTAGAAAATCCTGTTTGAATAAATTTGACATATTGAATGTCAAATTTGTGGCTATGAAAGATGGTATGAGCAGCAGTTTTCGATTTGACATGTGAATTTACCAGTTCACTAGGATTATTTAGAGTTCATTTCGTGTAGCTTCCATATTCTTCAGCAAGGATGAGGATTTCACGGAAAGATTCCCTGATACAACAAGCACTGCAGTCAGCACAGCCTAATCTGTTGGCATAATTCTGTGTGGAGGCAAGATTTCTATCTTCTAAATGGACAAAGATATTCCAGAGAGTAATGGTTGTCCTATAGCAAGCTATGATTCGGTGTTTTTTTGAAGATCCCTTGTAACTCTTCAGTTGAAGCTTGGTGTAAACGTGGAACTACTGTTATTACCTGAGACTAATCATCTGATTTCCTTTTTAGATTCTTAGACTGATGACTTTTAATCTTTTGAATGATGCTCTAAGGGTTGTTTAAGTTATAGCAAGTAGCATGTGTCGTTTCACGCTCCTCTTTTAAGCATCTACCTTGTACCTGTTTAATATGAAAATAAAGATGGGATTTGAGTGACGTTATTAGTTATGTAAGGATTTACACCAGATAAATTCATGTTACGGGTTCATACAAGACGGCATTTTTCCACCATTGGTATGTGATGCAAACCAGTTGGGTCTGAAAGTTTCTCAGTCACGTAGCCAATCGTTAAATAAATACACTGACTACATAATGTTGTATCGCTTCAGAAAACTTACCAATTCCTTAGTTGACTACAGACATACTTTGCTGTGGCTAGATAAGCTTGTGGAACTAAACGACCAATCCAGCAGTAAGCCTTAATACTTTGCGCTGAATCAGAAGCCATAGATTTTACATAGTGTACCAACAATAATACACCTTGTGGACGCAGTGAACTCAGATGAACCGGAACCTCAATGAGATGACCTTCTTCTAAAACTTCACCACGAACAATGAACATACGTTTAGATTCCTATAAAAGAAATAAAGTGAAAAGCATATATATACAATGAGATATTTTTTATATTGGAAAACTGAACAATTCGTATTTGGCGATTATACTAAAACACAGTTGTGTCTTACTAAGAATGCACTGAAATTAGTCAATGATTCTTAGGAGTGTCCTCTATAAACTAAAAGAAAATGTTTCAACTGGGTTTTATGAAATGTATTTATCCGATTCCATAAGCACTTCGCGGTGCATTCTACTGATAATTTCTACAGAAGAAGAAAGTATTTGGTTCATTGACTTCTTCAAGTAACACTAAGATTGGTGACCACATGCCAGATTATTTACTATCCCTATTCTGTTCGGATCAGATTGTAACGCCAAGCTGCGCATCATAATAGAACAGGGCACAGAATGGCAGTCAACCCTCTACCTCAACTTCATCGACTTTGAGAAGGCCTTTGACAGCGTCGACCAAGACGTAGTTTGACAGGCAGCTGCAACACTACAGAATACCATAAACCTTTATTAACCTCATCAACAACTATATGAAGACGCCACATGCAGAGTGATTCACAGTGGAAAGCTCAGTGATGCCTTTGAAGTGAAGACAGGAGTAAAACAAGACTGCCGCCTATTATCATCCATAATATTCCTGATTGTAGTGGACGGGACTGGATCATGCAACAAACAGTGAGGAGTGAGAAGAGGGGGATAAGCTCGCTGGACCAGGGAAAAGATCATAGAAGATTTGGATTTCGCCACCGATGATGACTTGTATCTAACGTCACACGAACTTGAAGATTCATGGGCAAAAACTAACAAGTTGACAGAATTGGCGAGGCATCGAAGACAGGACTTTGAGTGAACATAGAGAAGACATGGGTGATGAAGATACCCAACCAACGACACCACCACCAACATCAAGCTTCAATCACCATCAGTGGGAGAAATTTGAAGGAAGTAGCCTCCTTCACCTATCTAGGCAGCACTGTTTCAACCACAGGCGATGGCGGCACAAACGAGGACGTCAAAGCCAGGATCGGAAAGACAGCAAGACAGGCATTCCTGTACCAATCTGAAATCAGTATGGAGATCTACATTCAGCATAAAGCGTGAACAATATCCGGATTTGCAACACCAGTTCAGTCAAGTCAGTGCCTCCATGTGATGGTTAAGAGACTTGGCGCGTTACGAAAAGTATTTCCAACTAACTACAGACATTCATCGACAACTACCTACGCTGGCTCGTTACTGAAGCTCAGGTGGATTGCCAGAAAGATTAAGCAACAAGGAACTCACTCTGGTTGGCAACGAACCAACCAAGAGCTTATAACCCAACAAATATGCAGTGGGAGGAAGTGGAGATGGATTGGGTTGGGCATAGACTGAGAAGGCTGACTGGAGACATCACGCGTCAGGCCAGACACTGGAGTGTAATCGAAGTGGGAAACGGAGAGTTGAGCGTCGGAGGCGATTGTGACATGTTGGAGATGATGTGAGAAAGAAATGAGGGTTTGTGGGCAGTGGTGTAGCCAGATTGAAGATTGTAGAGAAGAGAGTGAAATGGAGACGTGCTACAGAGGCCGTATATTCCACTAGGAACCCAAGGGACAAATAATAATAATAATAATTTTCTGTATCCGACTGCTCCTGAAACTGCTTTCCATAAGATATCGAGTGTTGTCAGTCGGTCATTGGGGCATTTTGGTATATTGTAATGATCTAAGGGTTTCCTTTTCGATAACTGTTTTTTACTTTCCTTTCTCATGAAAAGTTTAAATGAACAACAATCGACAATCAGTGAGAAATGACAACTTGGTGAAGTGCAACTTCATTCTTAAATTTGCTGGAAGTTTTCAACTTGTGTACAGTTTATTGAAGTTCATATCAATGAAATGAAGACAGTAACTGTCCAGCTTAGAAAATATCGCATCATACAGCATTATCTTTTAGAATTTTGGCATTAGGTCGGTCAATTAGACAAGTCAAATTGACTGTTCACTATCATTTATACACTTTCCTAAAAAGGACATTTTTATAACTGCCGATCTCAATTTTCGGGCTTCGAGGAAACAGTAAGCATAGATATTCTTTGAATATGTGGAAACATCTACGAAATAAAAAAGTAACAAAGGTACTGCCATCTAAGTTCCACGCATACATACTTTCAACCTTAATCACCATCGAAAACAAAGTTTATGATCTTCATAAGTCACAAAAGAAAACACAAGATAAAGATGTAATATGTGAGATAAGGCTAATTTTCAATTAGTGAAATATATACATAGTGATTTGAAGGAAGAACAAGTATCTAAGCGAAGAGTCTCTCTTCCGAGATTTCATTTTCAAAGCTGGGCAACAGAAAATTTATTCATTTTTATAGCTTAAGGATTCATTAGGTAAAAAAGGTTTGTCAAGTATGGCAACACAAATAGTGTCAATAAATGAGTTATCATTAAAATCAAAAAAGCCAAAAACTGATGAGTAGTGAATATTGTTCAAAATAAGTTTGAACATGAAGTTTCGTAACGTGATGTCATAATTGGAAACAGAATTGTGATCAGTAGAACATAGCAACAAGAATGGGTAGCAAATTACTTAAGAAGTGAACAATGTCAAAACAGAAAGATGAAAAGAAAAAAAGGGGAGCAGAGGAGACTAAAAACTAAGACCATTAAAGGAGGAAGGGTTGAACAATCTTCTTTTGCGTACACAGTTCAGGTTTCTCCGTCTGGATGACAATGTAGAGAATACGAAAACATACACTTTTTTGGAGGTTTTTCTTCAGTTTATAGATGACTTTAAACGGGGAAGTTCTTGAGACAGCATGATACATGTTCACGATATGTTCAATTATAGCTCTCCTTATACCTTCATTGTTATCTTGTTATAACCACGCGGGATAGTGTTCCTGAACCCTTTCGGATAACAGTCGCATCGAACGACCTATATACCTGAATCCACAAGAGCAAGTGAATTGACATATGCGCATAGAGGTGGTCAGATACGAAAGTTTTTCCTTTGAGTTGTTAGAAATCTTTAGGCAAAAAGAGAATACTAGTCTCAGCGTTGATGCAAGAATGTTCTCCTTACAGCCTTTGACGTCCCTTTTTTAGAGTGTCAGCGGCAGAATCATCTTTAAAGTTGAGACTCATAGACAGTATCTTTATTGTCAAGGTGGTAAGGTTCCTTTTACGAAGTTTAGGTTTGATGTGTTTGTTTATGAGGTATGTTAGAATCCATTTTCAATCAGAATGTCCTTTAGAACAAAATTTCCTCTTCTAACACATTAGAACTGCAGATTCTTACAGTTCCTTACACTAGAAAAGTGTAGGAATTTGTGATTGTACAGCTATGAAAATGAAATCTCCGAAGAGAGACTCTTTACTGAAAAAAGCTAATTTTGTTCAGCCTTTTTAAAATTTATTCAAACCCAGTTCGTTGTTACTAGCCGTCGAAAGTGTTGACATTTGTTAGATGACAGTCAATGTTTAAACTACATTCTGAAATAGTGATGTAGTTTAATACGATATGTTCCCGATTTTTGTCACTTCTATGAAATAACATAACGCTGCTGTTTTAAGCATATGAATGGTGGGTTCTGTGTAAACCCATTAAACACCGACGAAACGTTTTAAAGCATGTCTTCATCAACATAAGATTGAGCTAAAGTAGGACCTTTCAACGGTCTGAATGTCAATTTAACCATTAGTGTACATGATGCAGCTTGGCTTTTCAATGGTATGAATGACTGACATATGAAACTGGTTTGGAACTTCTTGTTTAGATTATCAGGATGAGGAAATGAATTGAATTTGAGTCGTTTACACCTCTTGTTGTCGTTCTCAGGATTGTGATGTCTTTAAGTGACAGATAAACCCATTCCGAAAGTTTATAAGTTAAACTGGATCTTTCTTGTTATACATTTCTCATATATGACTGACACGATTGCCAGTGAATGAAGTTTGGATTTCTAGTATAAAACTGTAATAAAGAACTACGACTCTGTGTGAATAAAGTACCAAGTGTTAATAACGTTCTTGCAAGTCTGTTCAAAATTCCTTTCAGGATCACTTAGCCCTTCCATAACTTTCTCTATAAATGCAGTTCATTTGACGAAGAATCCTTCGATAGCGTCCTTAACTCACGTCAGGCTACTAAATACGAATTATTGCTAGTCTCTAGAGTTGCTCTGCTGATCAATCCGCAGAAACTGTCACTAAAATATCCTTTATTACATGGATTGCAACCGATTGCTTTCAACTAACTTACATCTATCAAAGTGCATAACAGTGGTGAGCCACTTGGTTTGATAACCACATTTCAAAATAATCGACATCATTCCGTCAGCACTCAGAACTAAGCCAAATAAAATCAGCCTGGATTCCAGTGACCAGCTGATGTATTCTGCTGTTTATAGCTAGTGTGCTGTTCAAGTGCCACTTAGATTTTCAAATGAGCTGTTGTGAACCCACACTTCACCATTTACGGTATATACAACAAGTAGTGAGACAGATAGAACAGAGTCAGCTTGTGTCAACTTCTTCAGTCAAATGTCAAAAAATCCAATTATAACTCACTCAAATTAAACAGTACAAAAACAGCTTACTTGTTTTGGAGTTGCTCTTTTCCCTTCATGTATAATCATTCGACCATTGAAAAGATGACAAAACACCGGTGGCTCTTTTCCCTCAACTACTCTCACCTTAACAGAAAAAAAATATTTTTAAACTGCATATTAATACTTTAACAAATGAAAGAGAAAAAACCCTGTCACCATCAAGACCAAAAAAATAACAATAAATTAGCTTCTACAGAGAGTAACATCAATTTGGAAAACTAACCTTCTCTTTGATAAGACTTGACATGATTATAAACATGACAACAGGGCAGTTTCTTGAGATACAGGCAGATGAAATTAACAGGATGAACGTTTATCTCCTGAATCATCATTATCCCGTACCCAAACGACGAGTGACACCCTGATTACTCACTAATGGAAATAATAATGATCAATAAACTGAACAAACCGTGATTACATTTAACCTCATATTGAACAAAGGACAGCTGGAGAATGCTAACTTAATAAAGGCATCATAGGACAGCGGCTTCCTTAAACAATTACTTGATCAGGGGCTTCATTCATACCACGTACACTATTATTTTCTAACTTTATAACCAGACAGCAGTTACAGATTATAGACATCAAGACTATAGTTTTTACAAATGTCCTGGGAGAAGTTAAACGCATGACTAACTTCACCATTATAAAGTCTTTATTAAATGTAATCCTAGCTCGCTTGAACCTAATAATTTGTCACTAGAAATAAAGTCATGAGAATGATTTCATTCATATAATTAACCACATGATGATTGTCTAACATGCAATTACCTCACAGGACAAAATCATTTACTACCAAACACATACAGGAGGTGAAAAGTTATGTTTTTAATGGGAATATTTTATATCAGTTGAAATGTGAAAATCTCAATTGCGAGGTCTCGAGATCCCCGGTTTCTCATTTTTCATCATAAAACTCATATTTTGATCTTCTGTATAGTGGTTGATCGATACTTTCTGAGGCACATTGAAACAGGAGTTTTTTGATTTATTAACAGCTAAACGCATGAATATCATGTCTCGTCGTAAACAGCATACTAACATGTATCTGAGTAGGGACTATACAGCTTTTGTAATGCCTATGTTTCCTACTAACTTGCTTTCTAATGCTGCCATCAAGGACCGAGCACATACGAAGATTAGTGAACAACAACTTACTGATACCCTGAGGAAAATAATATTAATCTAAGATGTATGGTATCCACAGCATTTTTAAAAGCAGTAGGTAACATGAACTACCCAACTATCAATAAATCGGTTTTTAAGCAATCCCACTTAAGTCCATTTAACTAATTAGTAAGCCAATTTTAAGAGAAATAAAATTTTATGGAAAACATTTTTTCTCCAAAGTAACGTGCACTGCTTCTAGATAAAACGTCTCCTTTGCAAGAATCATGGACAGAAAGAATATGCAACAAGGAACTCTGGTCAGACAACGAACCAACCAAGAACCAATCGCTCAACAAATATGCAGAATGAAGTGGAGATGGACTGGGCATACATACACTGAGAAGAACATTCAGGGACATCATGCGCCAGGCCAGACACTCGAGTAGAACCCTGGTGGGAAACGGCGAGTTGGGATTCCGAGGCGAGGGTGACATGTTGGAGATGGTGTGAGGAAGAAATGAGAGGTTGTGAGCTGTCGTGGAGCCAGGTTGAAAAGATTGTAGAGAAGAGGGTGGAATGGAGACGTGCTACAGAGGCCGTAGATTCCACTAGGAACCCAAGGGACAAATAATAATGTAATAATTTGTAAGAATCACCTACTTTCCACGATGGTAGGCTGCGACTTGTGAGATAATGAAAGAAGTAGAAGCAAAATAAAAGCTTTTTCTATAGTTAAAGAGCATAGCATCTATACCACTTCACTTCAATGATCCAAAAATTTCTCACTTATTTGAAGCGTGATGACAACAACAGATAGGTTGGATTAGTGCTTTACTACTGTAGATTCTCAGCATCCACCTTCATAAATGGGTGTCAAACTGCCGTTGTACTTTACAAAATTCTTCTGAAGTAAGAGTGTTTTTAAGCTGCCTATTTTACGTCCTTAAAGTGAGATCCTTTCACCAGAAAATAAAATATAATAAATTAAATTTATTTTTGGCAAACAGATTTTCCATAGATAAATTTATTTCATAAAAATTCAATCCTCAAACTTGTTTGTTTTATATCTAACAAAAAATGTTTCGGCAAACAGCCATGATGATACTCAGCTGAAATGGGCTGCATATGGTGTTGAATATCTAGTACATAGTACATTTTAATACTTCTTACAGAAAGTAGCTGAGAAAACTTTGACGTTACAGTAGATTTACGCCTTTTGTACAGATTCCAACAATGGTTAGAAGGCTAAATATCTGTTAATTTATATAAGGCAATAAGAAAAAATGCTGCTGATTTTTTACAAATGGTCATTAATGAATTTTCTACAGATATTCTTGAACAGAAACCTCCAAGATTAAATTCCATACGTTAAGAATGTGGGGTTTTATAAAGTCACATTTAAAAGCAAAGCATATATAAACATATAAAATATTATGCTCCATAGAGGTTTGACCTATGATGAAGAAAAGAACTGCCAAACCAATGTGAACTACCTAATTCAGCCGTCAAATTCTCAAATAAATTGGTTGATGACTGCCATCTTCTGTGAATGATGATTCACCAGGTCAATGAATCAGGGATTTGATCATAGGTGTATCTGTGGGACTGCTTACATTTGGTGGAATCATTATGTCATCAATGTTGAGGTCAGGTGAACGATATTAAGAAAGACATGCGAATCGATCTATGTTTTAAACCATCACTAACTGAGATGGCTTGGATATGTGCTACGCATCCCTAGCCATCATTTACCTCAGCGTGTTATGCTCTGAATAGTTGAATTTGGTTGGAAGAGGGTTCAGCGTGGCTAGAAAAAGACGTAGCAGCAGTCAACAAAATCTCTGACTATTGGTCTGAGTCGTGTGGAGGAGATGTAGACCATCTGGTTTTGAATCTTCGAAAGGATAGGAATCAGCAGTTGAGGATTCTTGGTGACACTGCAGAAAATTGGTCACAACGGCGCAGATGTATACACTTTTGGTATCTTAAGCTTGAATATTTGCACCAGCCGTTATCTTCAATTTTTTTATTCTCTCATTGAACTTTGTCTACTCTGATATACTTTTTTCTATCCACCTGTTTTTTGCCTACTACGGTGAAATGTGACAACTTGAGTTGATACACCTTTCTTCGAGGTTCTACGTTGGTTTTGTCTACCTGTCTGTATGTCTGTGGATCAGTTCTATGTTTAGGTGTCTAAGCAGTTGCTTCAGATTCAGAGATCCTGAGAATAGCCCATGTTAAAAACAAACACGTGATCTATTATTTTCACATGTAAACCAATCGGTAAGCGCTTTTCTATGTTAGACTACGCAGACTCCAAACTCATGAATTAAAGTGGTATTAATCAGTTTGACTAGAAGGCCAATCAATTATCAAATAATATCAAAGTGTCATTCATAATTTGTACAAATTATTACTAACCTGGGGACCCCTTTCCTCATCTAGTTCAATAGTCATTAGAGCAGCTGCTCCCTTCTCAGTAATTTTACTATGCGATCCCTGCCAAAAGAAATAAGCACAATATTCCCGAGCATTTTCGCTATTACGTTTACTACCATTTCGTTGACTATCTAAAAGAAGAAAGAAAACACGCCGGTGACGCACCAAAACACCATACAGAAGTAATGAGAAACAAAACAATATGCACTTGGCATCAATTAATCATAATAAATTCTTTCCTTGTCATAGTTTTAAATGAATAACTTCTGGTAAATTCCAAATTAGATTTTACCGTAGTACAATTTTAGCAGTAACCACTTTGTACATAAACACAAATGACTAATGGTATCTATCTAGTGTTTCATTCAAATTCACAACTCATCACCCTTGAGCTTATTAGCCAATGTATATCAATTTTGTTTGAAACCTTGGAAATCACTTCACTAGGAAATACTTTCATGTTCATTGTGAGTCTTTTGCGTCTTGCTGCTTCATCGTCAATTGTGTGACACATTCAACTGCCATAGCAGAAAACTAAGTTCATTCCACAGATTAATTCACACGAAAGTTTGGTAGTTATACTAAGTTTAACAGCCAGAGAATATTATAAATTCATTTCGGTCCACTTGATGTAGATACAATAACCCAAAATTTAACCAGCTTTTGTTGTTACTTGTGTGATCGCGTCATTGATTTGATAAGACTGATCGGTCTCTCTTGCCAGATGGGCTACTGTACTGATGCCTCAAAGTTGCCTGTGCTCCATTTTCATGTTATTGATGGATATTGGCTAGCAGTGGAGTCCATTTGGGACCCGTCAGCTTGACATACCTGCCTTGGGACTGATTGCTTTTCCCCAGTCAGCGACGGGATAATACAGGTGACAATATAAAAGCTATAATGGTCACACAAGAAACGCTCATCGTGACTCGATGACCTGGCTGATAAAGCTTCGGTGTTTGAAGCAGTCACTCCCACTTTGGAGTCCTAATGAAGACAGCATCGCTCACTGAGAGAGGTAGGTACATCCAGCTGACAAGTCCCAAATAAGACGAAACGCACGCCCTGGATTCCACTGTTGGCAACTTTCCATCATCAAGTCTTCTTTTTTAACCGAGTAGCTAATATTAGTATTCAGAAACAACGATAGGAAACCCAATTACATCCATATTCTGAAACTACATTTCCGAAGAAATGCTAAAATTAGAGGTTTTTTACTACCTTAATACTAGTATTTTGTAAATTCAACAAGTAACTATCCTAGTCAAAACCACAGTTATTACGTAATCAGCCTGTAAATATTCAAAAGTATCACGTGAAAACCTAATGTTTTATTTTAACGTGACACACAAAAATGCATAAACAGTTAACTAGAAAACGTTTGGTACAATCTCTTTCAGATTAAAGTGTAGATGTCTTAACTAAATATTAAAACACTACTATATTTAGGCTTTAATTTAGCTAATAAGTACTTTTAAACTTAACATTTGTAGTATGATCGTTGTTAGCTGTTATGGTCATCGGCATGCCAAGTAAATATATTAGTTGGATGTTTCATGTTGCAGGTTCATTGTGTCATAAAAAGCCTAGGTATGGCAAAGGAAAACCTTAAGACTTAGCTTTCAAGCTGCTAAATGCATTGTACTATACTTTGGGTAAAATAAAGTATCCCAGTCGGTAACTGGTAGTGCATATTTCTATTCTGCGTTTAACTTACCCATCTTCCCTTTGATCTACTCCACAAAGGATGATCTTGGCTGTTTATGCAGTGTTTGCTTGCTTACATCCTCTCGATTTGTATGAGAAAATAAGAAGTTATAGTCGAAATCACAAGATAATTAGGTGAGATAAGTAAATCTCTATGATTCTGAACAATCAGAATTACATCACCAAACACGTTAGGACATAAGACTGTATCCCAACTAATGACAGTTTCCGACTTCATAAGGTCCTATTTAATCAGATAAGTGAAACGGGTTGGCTACTTTAAACTTCAGCATTTAGTCTTGAACCAGGTTTACGCAATAATTTACACAATGGCAGACTGACTAGTTTCAAGAGATGCGTAGATGAAAACAACTCTTGTATTTATGGCAAATTCATCAGTCTTTGTGTGAAAGGTGTTTGGTCAAGCAGAATCTTATTGATTTGATTACATTATGGAAAACTCACAATTTTTACATACGAATAAAATATGAAGATGCTATTCTGGTAGTCAGTTAAAATTAGGCGGTACCGCACTTTTTGAGCCACAACTGTACACGTGTATTTGATTTCTTTTAGGAGTAAGTTTACACGGCCAGATTTTAGTATGAATAAGCAATTTCTTAACAAGGAAGGAGCTAAACAAAAATACTGTGATTGTCAATGTTACAGTTAAACACGTGGTGAAGGGCTGAAAATGATTTAACTCAATAACATTCAATGATCAAATAGGAGTCATCTAAATGTGGGAAGAGAATTTGAATTTCTTATCTTTAAGACAAACGGTGATGTATTTAACCTGATTCATTTCAGCAAAGTAAAATGCCTAAACTCCTCTAGATCGTCTGATTCGATTGGTGACTTACAAATATTTAGACAAAAGTCAATGTTAGCAAGTTGGATATTTGAATTATCTTCATTGAATGATCTGAAGAATAAATGAACTCCATCCAACTGACGAAATGGATGGTCTACGTTTGTCTTGATGCATCTATAAACACTATAGTTAGGCTGAAGACTAAATACTCGTTTAGTAATAGAACCTGAACACAGTGTTAAAAGATTATTATATACTAGGTTAGTTTATTTTGCCTAACAAACAGTGATACAGATTTAATTACTAAGTGATATATTTAGTGAAATTTACTAATCGTGATCATACCAAGCTACTCACAACTCACCAATTTCGTTAATATCGATCTACTACTCTTCCCTTTATTGTATTTGTAGTACACGTTCCCATGTATCCATAACAATCTCAGAGTCATTGTGGTTGAGCTGATTCAGTAAACAAAGATACTCATTGAAACTGTTTGAAATATCAGTGGTTAGCCAGATTGGTGTTATTTATGCAGTATGATGATTGGGGATGAAATGAAAGTCTGGGTTCACGGTAGGATTCGAACCAATGGCCTTGAATTACCAACTGAGCCACGGGATTCAGACATTCCCACTAAAACTAATCTTTCAAATCACACCTATCTCAGGTAGTCTCAGTGATGATGATTATGACACTTACACTCTTTAATTCAACTTGATTTGAATTGGAATGAAAAGACATGGCTGGGTAACCAGTATGATTTGAATGACCGAAAAGTTGCATCGTGGATTCATTCAGTAGCTGGTCAAAGCCCTTGGAGTGTATTTAAGACGATAGAACGTCACGCCCGCAAACTAGGAATTTTGCCACAACCTGGGATACAGTTTCCTCATTAATTGTCCCTCAGTACCAAAACAGGAAGCTTTGCAAATGAAATTCATTTGTAAAATCCCAATGAGGTAAAAATATAATTTTTTGATGTTTCGTCATTGCACAGAAATTGTTTCTTGAAAGAATTAAATCTTTATAGGTTATGACATGCTTAAATAGTAACTGGCAGCAAAATAGATCACGTTGTTCTTACATGATAATAATAAGGGAATAAGTGTGATTGTTATCACTTATACGTCCATGAGTTCAAGGTGACGGTGTGAATGAATGTGCATATGTGAATGGTGTGAAGGTATGAGAAAAAATACTTTGCATGAAGAATTCAGTTTGTTTATGTGTTTATATATCGTAGTTATAGGTTTTGGATGAAGCATACCTGTAGGTTGGATGGTTACGCTTTCCTTTCTGTTACAATTCAACATAATCGAAATGCTCCAGCTATTCATCTTTCCTTGTAGTTAGAAAATCCTTTATAAATAATTTTGACATTTTCAGTATCAATTTGTGGCTACGAGCGCCAGTTGCCGATTCGACTTTGGAATTCTCTCGTTCTACAGAATTACTTAAAGGTCATTTCGTATGGCTTACATGCTTGTTAGCACGAATGAGGATTTCGCAGAATTATTCCACAATACAATTTAATTATCGTCACAATCGAGACAGCTTAATTTGTTGACAATTCCATGTGAAGATAATACAAATTCTATCTTTTAAGTAGACGAATGTATTCTTGAAAATGTTGGCCGTCTTTTAGAACGCTCTAATTTTGTGTTTTCTTTAAATCCTTTTTCACTCTTCAGGATCGTTCTTGTGCCTAAAAATTAGATTATGTCAGCTGTGATACTAGTTACATTAGGAAGTCATCCCACAAGATCCTAATTCCGGCCGAGAAACAAGCAGGCTATACAAAATGACCTCCAAGCAGTCCCGTAGAAACAGAGAATTTACAAGTCATATCAGCAATTGCTCATTACGTCATCTATCATAGTTGCGAAATTGATGTTAAGCTTATTCAAGGAGGATTTTTTGACTACAAGGAAAGGCGGATAATTGAGATGTTTCGCACTATATTGAAACTCAGTGCACTGAACATCAATAAAAACCTAACTAACCAAACAACTTGTGGAGTCCCGACCGATAGCTGCTACCTTGACGTGGTGGTCGGGCTTGCATATCACAATGACCCAACGAGCTATGCTGGTGGAACGCTTGTTCCCTCGAGGTCCTACCATACCAGAAAGGTCTGTTGGGTAGTGGTTAGACGAAAAGCAGTTACCGTTATAGTGTAAATTGCTACACTATGATGGGGGTCTGAGGGCGAAGTCGTACTGCTGCTAGCTGGATGGGGTGTGACAGCAGTAAGGTGTTTCCCTTGGATGACCAGCAGTGCCATGCTGATGCTGCCTTCTCAGTGGAAGGGGGGGTTAGAAAAGGTCGGCCCCAAAAATAACACACTCCACCACGCCCCACGGTCTGCCGGGCCGGCGGTGTTGGTTCACTTGTCGTTTCCTTTCGACCATCCGGCCCCAAAAATACAAAAATTCAAAATAATCATACTCAAAAGGCTGGGTGTGACAGGCCTCAAGCAGATGTCCGATGGGCTCTGCGGTCACACAAATCTCTTTCAGGTACCTTAAGAAGAAATAGCCTTCCACGGTGTGGGCAGCCGGGAAGTGTCAACCGCCCTCACAACTCTGTCAGCACCCAAGTTTCTTC